GACCTGATATATACATGGCTGGAAATAATATTACATTTGTTTATGTCACCGCATACCTTCCATTGTCAATAAAATATTTGTACATGTAAGAATATGTGTACTTTAATCATCGAGTATATAATACGAAATAGAGACGATATGTCATTTAATTTGTTTGAAAACTATTCTGCCATATCATTACGGTGACAACTGCGTTCCGATTGACCATTCGAAACAATCGACGGGTGTCGCCAATTGTTTCACTTCAAAGTCGACCAATTTAACTTGAGCATTGCTATAATGGACTAAAATTGAAAAATTATATATTTAATAAACCATGAAGTGTGATTACGTTTGGTTTGTAATGAGATGTTTTGCTGTTTTTCCCTCACCACCGAATGGAACAGCCCCCCATAGTTAGAGATATTATATTTCTTACAATAAATACAGAATATTTTTGGAATATACGGAGACGTACACACAGGTCGGTTGTTAGCGCTGTACTATTTCAGCTTTCTAATTTGTGATTTCAGCGCAAACGAGAGTTGATATTTAAAAGTGATCTAAGATCCATTTACCTGATGAGTTGCCAGGGATGGATGGCCCTTATTTCGTCTCTATTTCTGGTTATATACTCAATGATTATAATATAGCGAATATATATTAATAGTCATACTACTTTTTGCCTGTAGCCTGTTTGCCAGACAGCTACGTCAGTCACTTAGCCAGGCAGCTACGGAAATAATCAACAGACTTCACGAACACACTTGGAAGGGCTGTTATTCCCAATCTGGCAACAGGTCGCTGTTTTATAGTGGCACAATGCAAAATAGTTCCCTTTTTGACGAGATTTGTTAAAAAAATACAAAATTTTATTGTGAATGGGACACCCAGCTTTTCATTCGTTAAAATAATCACATGATAAGTTTGGCATGGTCTACGGTATGTCAACTTTGCGCGGCAGACACGTCTTTTTTTTAACCTCTTCCTGTTGAATTGGGAGCTTTTGAGATAGACCGCTAGTTCTAGAAAGCCACCGAGGATTTAATTCTAAAATTTAATAAAGAAGTATTTTATAAGTCTTGAAATTCGTTACCCATCTTTGTATATTTTGAATACTGTGTAGAATACAAATTAAACTCATTTAATACAATTTGATCGTATTGATTGATTTTTATTATATTATTAATTGACATCTTAATATCTTACTAATGCACATTATACCATTTAAATACACGCTTTCTTTCACTCACTTAAAGTACTTAGAAATTTAAAAAACCTAATATAGTTATACCACACTATTCCTGTATGATAATTTCGACTTTTTTTTTCTAATACTACTCAAAGCCAATCGGGCTCGTAGTAAAATCTTATATGGTAGACAGCAGTCGATTCGCGAGGGGCGCATAATGTATCATATAATATTTTTAACCTAACGCTCATTTAATATAATTTTATTTTACTATAAACTTTTATCATATAACAATCCATTTAATATAACGAACGTTTAATTTAAACTCCAGTAGCATTAGAGGTCCTTGTAAAAGAGTTCGTCCAGGGAAGTACTGCCACTTTACCTATTTCTGCCACCAAGCAGTAATGCGAGCATTTACTGCATTCCAGTTTTGGAGGGTAGGGGCGCTGGTGAAATTACAGGCACATAGGACTTGTCAACTTATGAAAGCTATATACAGCTCTGAGTGGCACTGCAACTGTTAGGGACAGGCGTGTCGCTTACCACCAGACCCACGACTTGTTCGTCCCATCACTTGGTATTATAAAAAAACGTTCTACAGGATTATTTGCAAAATACTAACAACCTGGCAGAACTATATTACTAACGTCATAAACAACAACTTTTGTTCCATGGCATTTGATTTTACTTTTTAATTAATTTGAATTAGAATTAGATCGCTCTAAACGGTGATAACTCTGTGCTATAATAAAAGAAAGCCCTAACAAAAATACCAGTTCGATGGAAAACGCTAAAGCGGGGGTGGGGTCGTCCGTGAGGAGGCGCGTTGCTCGTTTAAACTCGTCAAATCAAATCAAATCAATAAGGTAATCGCTGCGGATCTGTGGACGCCTACCTTAAAGATCTAAAGTGTCATATTATACTATTATAGTTACAACAAAAATTTAAAAGTATATTGTTGATAAATTTATTTTTACGTTTCGTTAAAAAGTCATGGAACAAAATGTTATGGTTTACGATGTTAGTAATTTACGCCTGAGAGGTTATTTATATAGTATTTTACAAATAACCTTCTAAAATTCAATAACAATCATTAACCCTAACACTCGTTTTTAATAACAATTATAAATTTTAAACCTCTACATTTCTAAATAGATTACTACACTGAGATAAATTAGACCAAAAACATGTTCCGAAAGGCAAACAAATTCGGTTGTTCTCCGCTTTTTCATATACTAACCTATTTTTCATATATGCTAACCTAATCTAATCTACTAAAGGACGCACATCACAGGAACAGAGTTTCGCGCGGTTGATAATTTTGCGCCTCTGTATAAAAAAAAGACATTACATTTTTACTTTAAGTAATTGTTTTAACATATTTTAAATGTTCAAAATATTGTAAAATTGATCTTCAAAATAATTTTGGAAATCTAGTTTGCTTTTTTTATATTATTTTGTGGTTTGAAAGCAAAGTGACTGTATTTGACTATTTCGCGCTTAGAGCACGACATTATCAGATTTGGGCACGGAATTCTAAAAAATTAAAATTTTATTTGGCAAACATGTTGAATGGAAGAGGAACTAGAAAAGAAGAAACGAGGCTATAGAATAGGCTGCCAAGAGGAAATTTTCGAACAGCAACGTAAACAGTGAGAAGGATAAGTTTGTAAAAAATGCGTACATGCGTAATGCGTAATGCGTAATGTCGAAATAATAAACATAAGCAAAAATTTCAAAGGGACAACAGAAAGCTACCAAATATCGAAAGACTGTATCGCAAGTAGTTAAGTATTTTTAAGAGTGAAGAGGTAAACATCTTCACTTTTATTCAGAGCTACTAAGTCTGCCAGTTCTTTAAGAAAATATATACAAGGAAAACAAATGTTATTCACCTATCTATTTGTTTAACTTTATTAATGAACATTTCAGTATTCGATTATCTTGCAGTAAAAGATAATATTCTAGACTCTTATACACACGAGTGTAATGCCAACTTAAAAATTTGTTTTTTGTATTTATATCATAAAAATTTATTTGGGCGGAGTTTTATCACACCTTTTTGTGGTAATTATCCAACAATTGCGTTTTTTTATATTATACGTGTAGTCAAATAAATTACCTACTTACGATTATAAATTTTGTTTTTATAAACCAAGCCTTAGCTCAATTATAGATTTTATTGCTTAGAAGCTTGGTATTGCCCAACTCTCTCCTATATACAATTTTTTTATAAAATGTGAATATTATTAAAAACGAGAAATATGAAATTAAGTTATAGAAAGTATATTAAGTGAAAATTATATTTAAGGAGCGTTTTATCTATTAAAACTAGTTTATTTAATATTCACATAAATCGTTGGTGTTGTACAGAAAGGGCGTAAGCGACATTTCGAAAAATTTTTCAGCGGAGCGTGTTTTAGATTTTAACGACTGTTTTAAAATACAAATCAGTCGTTAAAATCTAAAACACGTATTTACGTCCTGTTTTAAAATTCAATTTTAGTTTAAGTTCTAAAATTAAATTTAAAACAGGACGTAAATAATAGGGGTTAAAGTATGAAATTGCCGATTTGTACTGAAAATCTAAAATGTTTATTTTTTAAATTTTTAACAAATTTATTTAATCAAAATAGTTGCCATTATTATCTATACATTGCTGCCATCTAATGGGAAGGTTATTAATGCCTTTGCGATAGAACTCCGACGATCTAGACTGCACAAACTGTGTGAAAGCATTTTGTACTGCCTCCTGGGAAGAAAACTTCTTGTCACGTAGATAATTGTCCAAATCACGAAAAAAATGGTAGTCCGTTGGAGCAAGGTCTGGTGAATACGGAGGATGACGAATGGTTTCTAACTGCAGTTCCTGAAGGGTCAAAATGGTTTCTCGTGCTGTGTGAGGTCTCGCGTTGTCGTGGAGCAATAATGGTGAAGATCGATTCATGAGTCGGGGCTGTTTTACTGCTAGTTTTGTCAACATGGTTCGGAGTTCGGCACAATAGACATCTGCCATTATTGCTTGACCAGATCGGAGAAAACTATAGTGATGCTGAGACCACCAAACAGTTACCATTACCTTTTTATTGGTAAGTTTTGCTTTAGGACACTGTTGTGGCATTTGACCTGGGGTCAGCCATTGCATTTTTCTTTTCCGGTTATCATAAAGAATCCACTTTTCATCACATGTTACAATTCGATCCAATATTCCTTCATTTCTGTACCGGTTCAACAAGGCAACACAAGTTTCAACACGCGTTTCTTTCTGCAGATCAGTCAAATCATGAGGCACCCATTTTTCGTATTTTTTTATTTTATTGATTTGACGCAAGTGAGTCAATATTGTGGGTAAGGTAACGTTAAACCATGCCGCTAATTCCTGGGTAGTTTGACTAGGATCGGCTTCCACTATCTCTCTTAATTCATCGTTATTCACCTGTGTGGGCGGTCTTCCTCGTGACTCGTTCTTTAAGTCGAAATTTCCATCACGAAAGCGTTTAAACCAAAATCGCACGGTGCGTTCATTAGTAGACCCCTCTCCAAACGCAGCATTGATATTGCGGGCTGTTTCTGCCGCGTTAGTTCCGCGTCGGAACTCGTATTCAAAAATCACTCGAATTTTCGCAATATCCATCTTTCTTGTCTAAATTGAATAACAAAAACAATTGAAAGTCGATATTCAAATGTTTCAAATTTAAAAAAAAAATCACAGAAACCATTTGAAAAAAGTTTCATTCGAAAACCTCAAACCATGAAGATTCTATGAAAATTCAAAGAACCTATTGCAATAAAACGTCAATTTCATACTTTAACCCCTAATATTTTATAACAGTCGCGAAAACTTAAAACATGCAATATTTTTTCGGAATGTCGTTTACCTACACTCTTTCTACAAAATACAGACGAAATGAGATGTACCCCCTCACGAGCTCGTATGTGCAGTGCGAGAGTATGAGTGCGGTGGCACATTGCAAAGTATTGTGACATTCTCAGATATTTATAGATTAGTCTTCTATGGAGGTAATTTGTTTCGTAATGGTAAATGGTGGTTATTTATATATGTAAATAAATGTTTGTATGATTATAAATACAAAGATCGAACACACAGAAACATTTCGTCGACCCGGTGGGACTTGAACCCACGTCAATGCTGCACCGTAGCATTGCTCTAACCATCTGAGGCACGGGTCCAGTTACCGAGTCGTCAAAATTCTCGTGTGTTTTTGTTCCAGATATTTGTACTGACTTTTCGACATTGATCGCCTCTAGTGAGAGATTATTGAATAACCTTCTCACCGCAACTGATACCTTTAACAGGTATCTGACTCAGATGGCGCTTTTCGATCAAATGTGTTTATCGGGATTTTTGTGAAATAACTCCACCAGATTTGTTATGATCACGTCCATGCTGCACCGTAGCATTGCTCTAACGTCTGAGCCACGGGTCCAGTTACAGAGTCGTCGAAATTCTCCTATGTGTTTTTGTTATAGATCTCTGTTCTGATTCTTTCAGCATTCGTCGCCGCCAGCGACATCTAGTGAGAGATTTTTGAATAACCTTCTCACCGCAGTTTTACAGGTATCACGACTGACCCAGATCTCGTTTTTCGATCAAATGTATTTATTGAGATTTTTTGTGAAATAACTTCACTGCTTTTGTTATGATTGTGAATATAAAGGTCGAACCCACAGAAAAACAATTGTATTCATAATCATAACAAAAGGAGTGGAGTTATTTCCCAAAAACATCACAATATATAAATATTTACAATTTAGGATAGCCGATTTTGGTGCTCTCAACCCATTGCTCTTAAACGTGCTTGCTGCGAATTTGTTACACGCGGACAATTAATCATATAAAATATTCAACATTTTATCTAACATCAACATAACGTTCTCATTTTAAACGTCATCGCTTCTTTTCTGAGCATGGATATCTCTATTCTTATCGTGGTTCATAGCGAGAGCGTCTTCATCCTCCGATTCCTCCTGGTCCTCAGTTATAGGACTGAGTACTGTAGGATCGTGGACCTCTTCTTGTTTCCTGAAACAGCAAAAATATTATGATGTTAATTTTTTTGAAAGCTTATTAAAAGAGTCGGTCGGGTTTCGGTTATGTATGAGACCACAATATATCTTTCTGTGAATGTCCACGATATGTATAAGATAATTCCAAGGGATTGTTAACAATATGTCCCAGAGTATATTTGACAGATTTGTAACCACTAACAACCAGTTTACTAAAACTAAGGGTGCGTACAAATCTAGCGAAAACGACGCAAATGCGCCGGTTTGCAAAAGGCTCGCGAGCTGCACACGTACATTGTGCAATCTGTTTGCATACCGTTCGCGCGCCGCTCGCAAGTCATATATCGTCAAGGATAGTGCAAATCCACGTAAACGTAAAATTGATAAAAGGCGCGTATCTGCACTAAACCAAATTTTACAAAAGTATTATTGAACGTCATTACTTTTTTTTATAATATCATAAGTTGACAATTAAGTATAAATAACATAGACATAAGTTGACAAGTCTTATACGCCTGTAATTTCACCAGCACCATTACCCTTCAAAACCGGAACACAGTAATGCTGCCATTACTTCTTGGCAGCAGAAACAAGTAAGGTGGCAGTACTTCCCTGGACGAACTGTTTCCCAAGGTGTTCAATATTTCAATGGCTATGACTGTCATTTTTGCACAGTAAGCATTAATTTATGTTGTCTACGGACTGATAACAATAGATTCCTGTAAATCGTGCTAATTTGGTTGGTACGATAGTTGCGCATATTTCATTTGGCCACTAATTTACCGAAATTGAAACTTTTAAACCAATGCTAGTTACGCGTTATGGCATTGCTCCCGACGATATTAACATGTATTTAACTGCACGCATACAGCACGTGTGCAAAGCGCGGACAGCGCGCGCGTAGCACACATGCGGCGCGTTCGCGACGCGTTCGTCAGATTTGTACGCACCCAATGGGTTATAACTAGTGGTTGGAAATTCGGATACTTTTATAACTAAAATTCACTGTTTCCTGTAATTCGCTATGAAAGTATAGAAGCGCTTCTTAAATTTATTATTTTTTTCTTTTTAATCCGGAATGTCAGAATGGTGTGACATGTTACAATTTTTATATTTTAAATACATTTTCGAATAACTTATGTTACCCTCTAAATCAGTCACAGTTTTTTTTGAAGTCTTATGTTTTTACATTTTCAATTTTCTAAATATGACAAAAAATAATTGAAATGTTACATAAAATTACAAATAACATTTTGAACGTTTATTTTCCTTCAATTATATACTTTACTGAATATTTTCAACAATCCCGGTGTCGCGGTATTTTTACGATAGAAAAGTGCATTCCATTTTTAGCGAACACCAAATTGTAGGTAAATAAGCATCCGAATTTCCGACCACTGGTTATAATTAGTGGTCGGATAATCGGATCCTTATTTACCTATTTATAATCCAGCAAATATTACAAAAAACACAAACTCACTTTCGGAACCTGGGTGCAGCGAAAGACGCTATAGCCGAAGCCAAGAAGAACAGAGCAGCTACGTAGAAAGACGCGTCGTAACTTTCAGTCATGTCATAAATAGCCCCAGCAAGCGGAGAGCCGATGTAACAAGCGGTACCACGGAACAAAATGAGTAAACCAAACGCATTCGTCAGTTTGTCCAACCCTAGCAGATCCACTAGAATTATGGACGTCAGAGAAATGTAGCCCGCTGAAAGAAAATATGTTCAATTTATTCACGTGTATAAAGTACAACTCTTCCTTTAGCTAAGGTTGACTATAAATATCTAAAAAAATAATTATGATTATAAAACAAAATTATAACTCATCGCGATTTATAGACAAAAATATAATTGCATATTTTTAATTGATTAAAATAAAACCTTTCTAGCAGAGGCCGTGGGTTCGAATCCGGGATAGCAGCTCGGAGTTTTTCGGAATTTATGTGCGAAATTTAATTTAAAATTAACCATGAGCTTGTTGTTGAAGGAACACACCGTGATGATACCTGCATGTCGAAAAAGGTTCACAACTGTCAGAAAACATGTCAAGTCCCCGATCCGCATTGGATCAGCGATGCGGACTAAAGACTAAACCCTCGCCTAAGAGTGTCGAGTAGTCGCCTCGTGTCCAGTAGTAGGACGTATAAATGGGTTGATGATGATGACGATAAGGCAGTGTTAATAATCGCTATTGTTATAGATTGCTATCTATCAATAACGCTACCGCTTGGTACCCTATATTTCATCTTTTGTTTACTGTACTCTGTTATTGTAAATAATAGAGTAGGTATATTATTGTATTGATATAACAGAACACCCTCTGTACGATGCCAATTACAAATTATTTAGCAGTCCCAAACAAGCTATACTTGCTTATATAGTATGTACTACATTAGGTTAATATCATAAAAATAAATTGGTATTATACGTACCTATAGCAATACCAAAGACGATTAGTACACAGAGAAACGACGCGTAAGATGCACAGAATGGCGTAAATGCTACGGATACCTAAAACACAGAAAATTAATCAAATAGTCGAATATGAGCCATCTAAACTACATGAACAAACACGAGTTAGTGATACAAACATGAGCCGCTAGGGGCATTGTTAAATTTGCCACACAAAATTGTTGAAATATTCTAAACGGTCGCCAGTGACAGCTGTTACTGTAACGCACTGTAAACTGTAACGCACGCACGCACGCACGCACGCACGCGAACACACACACACACACACACACACACACACTCACACATAATTCATTGCATGCTCATACATTTACACGTACGAAACACACACACAAGTGCATACTATCCTTGCAATTATAGTTTGTTAGATATTTTATAGTTATTTATTGTAATTTTGTTGATTTCATTGTATTAATCATTGTTTTCCGTAACGTAACTTTGGTTTAATTTATTACAAATTTAATGTAACTTTAAACCAATTGTTTAAATGACTAATTTTGTAAATGGCTAAGTAAGTTTGTGATTCAAGAATATAAATAAGTATCGTTTGCTTTAGATAACGTTTACAGTGTTTTTTTTTTATTTAATTCCACTTTCAGTACCCGAGTGAAAACCACACTTGTAACCATAAGAAATATTATTATATCTAAGAGTATACAAGCACACGTAGATGAATAAATATACGACTATTGTCATCAAAGATTTATTCAAAAATATTATTTAGTATACTTTAGCAGCTGTAGAGCTCCTTGTGAAAGAGTTCGTCCAAGGAAGTACTGCCACCTTACCTATTTTCGCCGCCAAGCAGTAATGCAATCAATACTTAACTGTATTATTTTGGTCATATTGCTCGCCAACAACCAGACAACCTTAACAAACTGGTAGTGGTGGGTAAGGTGGTGGTATAACAACTGCTCTGAGGCCGAAGATGGAACCAGATGGAAGAAAATTGTCCATAAAGTCTCGAAAACCTTTCAGGGACACCAACTTCAGCAAGAAGAAAACGACTAGAAGGAAGATAGCTCTTAATAATATTTTTTAATTTTTTTTTTATAATATCAAGTGACGGGACGAACAAGTCGATGGTAAGCTACACGCCTGTCCATGACAGTTGTAGTGCCACTCAGAGCTTTAAATCGCAAAGATTTGTTGGCGCACTGCCACTGCGCCCGTCACCCTGAGACATAAGTTGACAAGTCCAATGTGCCTGTGATTTCAACAGCACCATTACCCTTCTAACCCGGAACGCAGTCAACGTCAAATAATAGTACTTCCCTGTACGAACCTTTCACAAGGAGCTCGACTGCTTCTTAAAAATAAAGAGGCAATATAAAGAAATTATCCTATTGTCTGTCTTTAATTATTTCAGTAGGTACATCATTTTAAGACAAATCTAATAGTTTTGTCTGAACGTAAAATATGTTTTGATTTGTTTATACCTGGATATGTTACCAAATCCCGATGTAACGAAATAGAATGGGCAAGTTACGCAATGGTTCCGATAACTTGTTCATTTTTGTAAACTTTTATATTTATCTAGTATTTCTCATTGTAAGTTAATGTTTATATTCTGTCTTAAGCCATAAATTCATGTTTCTTTGTGTTGTCCGATCTTTGTTATAGTTGGTGAAATATTATTTTCACCGATTCGTCTTATCATTTCATCTTTATAGTGAGGTCCGCTGGTTCGTTCCGTGGCTTAGTTGGTATAGCCTCTGCCACGGTAAGCTAGAAGACGTCGGTTCGGATCCGGCCGGATCGAAAGAACTTTTTTCTGAGTGTTCGATCTTTGTATTAATGATTATTATTATTATTATTGTCATTATTTGGAAGTACTGGACATCTATAATTAATAATAATAGTATAATTCGTATGCCTTGATGGTTCGTCGTGGCGATCATAAAATAAATGTTAACATCTTAATTGTACCCATGATGACGAATAAAATGATTTGATTTTATTTAATTAAAACTAAAATTGTGTTCTTAAGCTCTTACCGTAGCCATGACTAGACATATATTGTTGAGGAACAAGGAGTCCATCCAAGGAAAATCTGCAATGTATCCGCACACGATACGGGCCACAGTATTTGTGATGCCAATTACTGATACTAAGAACGCCGCTTGAGTTGGATCTACGCCCTGAAAGTTCAAAGTAAATGAAATTAATAATAATTTATACCGACACGTGTATACAGGGTTATGCGTAGAGTACAAACAACCTAAAAAGGTCTATATTACTAACATAATAAACAACAACTGTTGTTCCATGACTTTTTACAAAATTTAATAATTTAACCATAAATATACTTTTACATTTTTGTTGTATTAACTGAAACTTTTTTTTATATGTATTTGGTAGTAAGGTAGTAAGTTCAAACGTACAAGCCTCTTCCGCGAGACGACCTCCTCCCGCGCTCTAGCATTTTGCATCGCACTGGTATTTACGCTAGGGGTATCTTTTGTTATCGCCATCGAGTATATAACCAAAGACGAAATAATTGACTTGTGTGTAAGCCTCCGTATATTACGAAAATATTCTGTATTTATTGCAATAAAGATAAATAATCTCTAACTACGGGTAGCTGTTCCATTCGGTGGTGTGGGAAAAACAGCAAAACATCTAATTACAAAACAAACGTAATCACATTTCATCGGTAATTAAAAATGAAATATGTAATTTTTAAATTTTCGTCCATTATAGTAAAGTTCAAGTTAAACTGGTCGTTTTAAAGTGAAACAATTGACGACACCCGTCAATTGTTTCGAATTCGGGCTAGCCAATCGGAGTGCAGTTGTCACCGTAATGATTTGGCAGAATAGTTTTCAAACAAATTAAATGATTCATTTCATTTCGTCTCTATTTCTGGTTATATACTCGATGGTTATTGCACAGAGTTATCACCGTTTAGAAGGGTCTATCGAAAGTAAAATCAAAAGTCATGGACCAAACGTTGTTGTTTATGATGTTAGTAGTATAGTTCTGCGAGCTTATCAGTATTTTATAAGCAATCCTGTATAAAAATCTACAGAATAGGTAATAATTAAGTACTTATATGTCAATGGTTGAAAGAAATAAAGTAATATAAATATAATAAAAATAGTAATATGTTCGATGTATGCTACAATCACACCAATTACCTGTTCTAGTAATCTAGGGAATTCCCTGTACTATGAGTACGGGATACTACTCAGAACAGTCAGACCAGAACCAAGTTTAAAAAGTTCATTTCCCAAATTGGATCTACCAGAAATCGAACCCGGGTCCTCCTTGTCCTACCCACCTACTGCGCAAACCGTTGCGCCACCAAAATCGTCAAGGGGTTAACCGATATTTTTGACATTGTTTAGAGTAGGTTTTAAAATTACTATTTCAGAAATAAAATCATTAAAACGGCGAAATTTTACTGCTTTAGAAATAAGTATTATAAATTTATGCCTATTTACACATAAAAATTATCCAGCCTTCAAATTAGACACTTATAGAAGCGCGGCAACCGCGCTACTACTAATTTTCATTCAACATTTAGAAGCGCAGTTGCAGCGCCACTGTCGTGACACGCGCGCGCTACTTTTGCAGTCACAAATAGTGAACTAAAAATTACTGAAGTGTTGCAGACGCTTTGGGGCCCAATTCTACTTTTTTTTTATTCAAACGACTGGTCGCTCTAATTCGATTGAGACTCCATTGAGATTACATTGCAATAATGATTATATTTGCTATTCTGTTAAGATCTAATTGCAATGGTAGTTAACTCTTAGTGGAATGGTAGTGATGGCATATTATTCATTTAACTACTAACGATCGATGTTGGCTTACTAAAACTACAAGAGAAATTGTTACGCATAATTCATTTTTATCTCGTTCAAACAGCAATTTAGTCTTCAAACTAAATACATAACATTAGTACACTACACCATCGACTCGCCATTGAAGAGCAGAACGACAAAAAATTGCAATTGCAGTTGAATAGTAGCTCGATGTAGCCACTGACAAATACTACTACTACTACGTAAGTACTACTCTTAACTTTTAGCAGAATACTAAACGTACATGATACACAACTGAGATTATTTAAAATTAGCGGACTTGAGGCCCTGCTGCCACGTCACAGTCGCGTTACAGTCGCGTGGCAGCTTCTATAAGCGTCTAATATGAAGGCACTCTAAAATATAATATTCAACTTGGCCCCTTTTACCTTTGAACGGTTCATATTTACATCTACGGTTCATATTTACATTTAAAAAATACATTTTGTAGTCTTTCTAAGTGCAAGTCGATTGGCTGATCGAAGTATGTCGTCGGCCAAATTCGTAAACCTCGTAACCAAATAAAATCGATTAATGTGAACTTTTGAGTAAGCACAAAAAACAGAATTACTACAAATAATTATATGACAATCTATGATTAAACTTTAATTTTATAACTGAGGAAAAGTTTACAAATTATAGTTTAAACTTTTGATGCCCGATTTGCGCTTGTAAAGTAAAAGAACGATTTCTTCTTGAGGTTTTTTAATTTAGCCGACGATGTATATATGTATAAAGGCGTACGTAGTTTCCGTTTTGTTCTATAGGCTTTATTACAGGCTTCATTAACTTACTTTGTAAATAGCGGCTTGAGATATATATACAAAGGGAATGTAGAGCGCAGCCATGCCGAAGAAGTTCGAAAGTCCAATCAGCATAAACGCCTTGTCCTTGAAAAGGCTTACGTCAAACATTGATGGGCCGCTAATGGCTACACCTGCAAGTATTACAAATAAAAATGTAACGTAATAATTAAAGATAAATGTAAGTTTTAGAAACATGCTCTCTAGAAGAAATGCAAAAAGTTTCTTTAATTATTATTTATCTAATGAGCATTGGCTATAGAGCCATCAGCTTGGTAAGGCAACCAATAATTAAAAAACTCTCTCGAAAGTAATATACTTAAACTGAAAGTGAATTCATTTAAATACTATAGAAATCCGCCATTTCTTTTTGCCATTTTTACATAAAGTTTTTTAATCAAGAACCAGCTTATTGTTTTTTATTTTCAATTCTTAAGTTCTACTCGGTCGCGACTCTTTAGAGCATAAGCTACGACTATTTAGGCTCAATATATATCGCGGCGAAACGGAATGGAAGCGAATTTTTGTAACGATATTGTACATAGAATAATTAACTTTATGATCAATTGTGTAACGTACAAACTAGATACAAGCGGAATGTGCGAGCATTCTCGAGCATACGCGAGAATTCCGCGTAAGATTTTGGCTCGTATCCCGTTTGTAATACGTTATATAATCGACCATAAAGGTCGCTATGCTGTGTACAAGATCGTTGCAAAAATTAGCTTCCATTCCGTTCCGCCGCAATGTACATTGAGCCTTACAGTGTAAACTCATAGTAGAGGTGCAAGTACCTGCACAATTACCTACCATCACGTTCCACATCGCTTTGTCTATGCTGCAGACTAATCATGGAATTCCGAAATCCCTGTAGCGACTTCTGACTTTGATACTGAGGCAGATTCACGATTGAACCCGTGTAAAAGATGTCCTTTCTCGATAAAGGACGCACCATTTTCGGCTGCTCTTTGGATGACACTGACATTCTTGAGCTGTAGAACTGACCCTCACAATCCATCTGTCAAGGAGTTCAGATTCTTATGTTTTTGCGCTTGTAATATAATCCTATTTATACAGGGTTATTTTTAAAATACTAACAAACTCACAGGACTATATTATACTATATATCATAAACAACAACTTTAATTCCACTATTTTTTTACAGAACACAATTAATTTACCAAAAATAATCTTTTAGATTTTTGTTGTACTAACTAACACTTTTAGATATTTAATAATAAGACATTTATTCAAAAGCACATTTACAATAACTGCCTCTGTGGCCGAACGGTTACCATGCCGGACTGCCACGCAGAGGTCCCAGGTTCGATTCCCGGGCCGGGAGAAATATTTGTATGGCCTACATTTATTTCTCTCGTGAGTTTGGGTGTAATTTGTGGTTGTCTATGTGTGTGTCCATACAGGGTTTCCCTAGTGCGGGGCTATGTTGACCGTGTGCGTTATTATTATTATTATTATTATAAAAAAAGGTTAACAGTTAACAGTTTCGGAAATGCGGACTCTAGTGCCAATGAAAAGGATGCAATCTCAGCACTACATGCTGCTTTTCAGGTTTCACCTTCATACATGGACACCCGCTGCTGACCATTGTCAAACTTCACAACAATTACGTTTTAAATTTATAGGACATGCTTAAAATGAATTTATTATTTCGATGAGCGCACGAATATATATATTACTGTAAAAGAACATTAAATACTGGATACAAACGGCACTGGAACAGGTTTCAACTTCTTACATACTTTCAAACTTACTTAGGTGACAAATAAACTAAGAAGAAACTTAAAACAAAGAAACGATTTGCTACGTTATAATGTAATTACGATAGCAATTTAGTCCAGCAACATTGTGATTTTTGTACGTTAAGTAGCCATTGTTTACACTTTCTTTTGAAAGTGTGCAATGACAGGCTAAGTTTAATCGGGGGTGGAATGTCATTCTAACATTTAATTTTAACTGCCTCCGTGGCCGAACGGTTACCAAGCTGGACTGCCGCGCAGAGGTCCTGGGTTCGATTTCCAGGCAGGAGAAATATGTGTATGGCCTACATTTATTTCTCTTGTGAGTCTGGGGGTAATTTGTGGTTGTCTATTTGTGTGTCCATGGCACCCGCGGACATGGGCTTTGAGTGTGCTGCGTTATTATTATTATAACTTAGACGAAGCGAACTGAAAGCTTTAATTATTGGTAGTAGGTAAGGTTGTAAGGTTGGTCAAAATGTGCACGCGTCCTCCCGGAAGACGTCCGTTCTCGCTTCTACGTTTTTCATTGCACCGCACAGAGTTATCACTGTGTAGAGCGATCTATTTAAATATTTTTATTTTTGTACGAAAGTAAAATCTGATGGCTTATTAAATATCACGGAACAATATAGTTATATGCTATGCAAGGCTGCAAAGTTGTTGTTTGGCGCGAGTTTGATGAGAGTTTCAAGGTACGAGACGCAAAACAAATTTGCTGCTGAGCGAAACGCATAACTTTTCACGTCACTATAACGAGGAAAATGCTAGATGAAAGAAAAGCAGTTAAACATCAGTTTTTTAATTGAAAAAGTTTATCTTCGGATGCGTTCTGAATTTACACCTCATCAATTTTTATTCTTGCGTGTATTTTAATTTTGTGTGATTAAGTGATTATAGAAATTATTTTAGTTCGTCGACGAATTAAAATATAATATTATGACAATTAGTTGTCATTGTCAATTTAATGTCAACAATAATAAGAAAATAATTTTTATAATAATATTAAACTACCGTACATAGTTATTTTTACTTGACATTGGCAAAATCATTGATTATTTCGATGGAGCCATAACATTTAAAAGAAGAAGAAGAATAAAATATATCAACGGATTTATATTACATAAATAGGCAATGTACGACAAATCGTGTAGTTCAACGTGTCCTTATCTTTTTTTTCATCGAAAGAAAAAGTTAGGTGCACCACAGTTCATCATCAAGTTCGAATTTCAAAAATCTTTTCCACTCTCGCGTGCAAAAAACGCTTTTGCGCGCAGATTTGTAATGAGAAAGAAAGACTTTCCGAGTTAGTGAGGTGAAAAAGTTGTTGTTTATGATGTTAGTAATGTAGTCCTGCGATGTTGTTAATATTACCTTGTATATAAGTACTTACGCTTATCGAACCCTTCGACACAGCTCTGGGTCTCGCGAGAGACAGCTTTGGTCTGCGAAAACACAAAATAAACCATGAAATTACTTGTTAGGCTAACATAAACTACATGACGGGTCTCAAGAATAGATAGTTAGTTCACAAAAATTTATTTATAATTTGAATTACCTATCTATACTATAGTTCCTCTCGAAGGACGGCACTGATTTAATTGTGGACATGCCGATGGAAGTAAATGCCGGTAATGACACGTTGCGTGACATGTTTTGTGGTGAATTTTCTACCTGGAATAGTTGAACAGCAGATTGAAGGAAGTTATCGGAAACTGAGTACTTATTTTACAGACTCAGTTCCTTTATTACGTTAACAGGTTAGTTTAATTAACTTAGTTTAGGTTTAACTGTTGGCCGAACGGTTACCATGCTGGACTGCCACGCAGAGGTCCTGGGTTCGATTAGAAATGAGTATATGGCAAACATTTATTTCTCTCGTGAGTTTGGAAGTCATTTGTGGTTGTCTATGTGTGTGTGTCCATGGCACCCGCGATACATGGTTTCCCTAGCGCGGGGTTGTGAGTGTGTTGCGTTATTATTATTATTATTATAGTTTATTTTCTAATTTCGGTGACGAAGTAACTAGAAATAACTTCATAATTACGACAGTAAATCCTTAAGTATCTTTAAAATGAGAGTACAGGAGCACTATTTCTCCTCTGTTCCATCCATTTTATAGATATTATAATATGAAATATGTATTTATGTAAGTATTTATACAGTCCGTAGTAATTTAATATTTTTGCTGTTTTTTTTATTATTATTATTTTATTACACAATTTAATTTTGTTTTGTTGTGCACGTTGTAAATCCGTTATTGCAATTATTGTGTCCTGTATTTTGATCTGCAGAAAGAAATCTCTTATAGAAATAAGCAGTACCTTTTGTTTGTGTTTTCCGTTTTACCAAACATGATTTGTGTTTTCCTGTACAATAAACCAATAAATAAATAATTACAATAGGATTATAATCATTTATTTCATACTATCAACCTCATAATATTACAATTTAAAATACAATATGATAATGTGATCGTCATTAATGTAAATGATAATAATTAATAAAAACGAAATAGTATAACTAAGAAAATATAAATGCAATAAATTGATAATTCCTTGGAAAATACTCAGCTGTATAAAATTCATTATCCAATAAAGTTTTACTCGGGTATAAAACATTTCGTCCTTTAAAATATTGTGAATAATAAAAATACAGTAAAAATTACCTTTGCCACGGGCTTTTCGTTGATATAATCGTTAGATCCACGTGGCATTTGCAAATTCTTTTCTACTGTCTGAAGTTCGAGTAATATGGATTGTTTTTTCTGAAATTAGAAGCAACATAACGAATTAGTAACGTAAAGTATTGTTATTCGCAAGAAAATTGACAAAACCCTTCCAAAGTAAAGGGTTTTTCAACAAGAACTTTGTTTTGTAAATCAAAATAAAATAATAAATTTAGATGACAATGATTCAAATTTTTATTGTATTTAAAAAAGTAAGATTTGGAAATTATGAATGAAAAATGATATCTGATAAATGTCCACCAGAACCACAGTTACAGATGTCGATTCTTTCATCAAAATTTTAAATCACTTTTGGACAAAATCGTGGGTCTATTTCGTTAATCACTTCACGAATTTTGAGTTTTAAGGCTGCAATCGATACGATTATCTCCGTATAGACTCTGTTTTTAACATAACCCATAAAAAATAGTCCATCGGTGTTAAATCACATGATCGAGCTAGCCACTTACAGGCTGAATTTTATTAAATTATGCAATCGGGAAATTTGGTTTGCAATAAATTAATTGTTTCGGTGGCTGTGTGACTTGTGGCACCGTCTTGTTAAAAACCACATGTTAGTGATATCCATATCATCAATAATAGGCCAAAATTGAGTTGTTAACATCTCTCGATAGTACGCTTTCCATTGACCGTAACCGCATTTCCAGCCTAATTTTCGAAAAAAAAAGGCCCAAAGTAACGGCACATTTATCAGATATCATTTTTCATTCATAATTGCTAAACCTTACTTTTTTTAATACAATAAAAATTTGAATCATTGTCATCTAAACTTATTTTGACATATAAAACAAAGTTCTTGTTGAAAAACCCTATATTTGCATTACTAACCCACTTAGGAACAGGTATTATTACTGTTATAATTGTACATAATATATCAGTATCAGTCAGGAAATATCCCAAAAAGAGGGGTAGAAACCTCTTAATGGTTGATCTTCGTCTTGAGTAGGTGCTATTACGGATTTTTGTAAAGCAGTGACAGACAATATCTATTGACTTTACAATATGTACAAAATGTCAATCCTTGTACAAACACTGTATGTTTGTTAAGTCTCATGATGAAACATGTGGTCACTAACTGATAAGGATGCCAATCTTTCGTTCTTATACGACGACAACATTTCTAGACTGTTTATCTTAATCTAGTCCATGTTAAACAAACAAAAGACTATTAAAGAATATCTAGGTTAAATTGAATTATAGTTATTTATTTCCTTAATGGCTAGGATAGGATTCTTTATAGCCACGCCACTTATTATTACTACTGGTACATACAATTTTACCGATTTTTCTGAATTTATCCATAGCAACGGCTGTGTATAATGCACATATAAGAAAATAGGCTATTATGTAAGTTCATTCTGCTACATTTCAATTGTCAAATTTTAAAAACAGCTTCATATTCACTCTTACAAAATATTGCATAACAATTTTGCTTGTACATTATTAATAGGCGCTTGACAAACATAATATATCATGTATGGATGATAGGAAAATCACCACATTTTATTACTATTTTTTATATGTACGTAATACACAGTGTTTGTACATTGGCTAAATTCAGAAAAATAGCTAAAATTGCATCTACAAGTATTAATAATAGGTGGCGTGATTGTAAAGAATCCTCCGTGACACCGCCACCGTAATTATTATTTTTCTTTTAAACTAACAGTAGTATTTCACAAAAAATACATGTGCAACATGTACGTTAGCCGTCCATTACAGTGGGTAATATCATAATATAAAAACTACACCCTATAGTTTAGCTACACCGTAGCTATTAGCATGACGCTTCTTTCTGACCACGATATGATTTCTTTTTATTTCCCGATATTTCGGAACGGTTACAAATGGTTACATGATCCATGATCACGGGTTGACTGACCAGAAGCAGATGACAACTTTAAGAACAGATATAGCTACCCTCTTTCGCTGTCGACGACTACTTTCATCTCGATTACTTGTGGTCACCATTATCGCAAAAAAGTGAATGACAATGGACAGCGTTGGCCAACAACCCATATAACATATCAACCCGTGACCATGGAGCGTTCCCAAATATCGCGAATATAAAAAGAAACTATATAGTGGTAAGAAACCTGTATTTGTGATAATCATAAAGTTGCTTCGTGTTACAAAAAAGTTGCATGCAAGTTGAGAAACATACCTACCCAGTACCAATTAATAAAAAAACCGACTAGTTTGCCACCCTTAAAGTTGGAATATTTTCTTCAAATTTAAGTGGGACCACTGCCGTGGGACCACTCTTTCTAACAAAAAAAAATCATCAGAATCGGTTCACAAATGAGTTATCGCGTAACATACATACAAAAAAAGCATACAATCGAATTGAGAACCTCCTCCTTTTTTTGAAGTCGGTTAAGAAAGTGCTTTCTAGCATGTAAGCGATCCGCTTAAAAAGCTCTATATACATAATAATGCTTATGCATAGATTGTTATTGAGTTTTGACATTTTTTAACGCGTTTGTAACTCAGTCCAAACTCATGTTAATACGTAACATATCTATGTACGTAACAGATAATGCAAAACAATGTAAAATGGCAAGTTAATAAAGCACGATATGCAGTATATGTATGAGTGTGCTGAAAGCACAGGCAAGAAATAGAAATAAGAGCTTAGCTCACTATAATGTACCCCTTTATACATACGTCCCGTTCATGTTATCGACACCTCAAAAATGATTGTCCACCTGCAACTAGTTGTATGACAGAAAGTTAGGCCAGAAGTTATAAAATATAAGTTTAACACATATCTACCCCTCTACATCTGTTACACACATACGATGACATTTGCATACTACTAATACGTAGTCGACTAACACTGTACATACATGAAAACAGTTCTTATCACTTGATACTTGGTAACTAACTATTACATAATCTATGGTCTCAGGTACGTTAATCATTACCTACCTTAGGATAAGTAAGCGGTCTCATCAGCGAACCAAAAACGACTCCATTTAAAATTAAACCAGCCAGAATAAGGTTCGCACTTTGCCAGCTGCCATACTTATTTAACAAGTACGAAGCTAGAGGTGGAAAGGCAAACGTTCCGACTCCAGAACCGCATACGGCGATGCCCGTAGCTAAGGAGCGTTTGGTGTCAAAATAGTACCCCACGGCTACTACCGCTGGTAAATACATCATGCCGAAGCCTATACCTGGTAGTACAATAAAAGGATTAGTTAAATAACACTATTTGTTGTTGTTATTGATATAAAGATTTTTTTATAACTAACTTTATTACAACTAAAGGATGCGACGAACAACTCGTGTGCCTGGTAGTAAGCGACACGCTTGTCCCTAACAGTTGCAATGCCACTCAGACGCTTTATATCACAAAGATTTGAGGGGCACTGCCACTGCGCCCGACACTCTGAGACATAAGTTTTTTTTAATAAAATATATATAAGTGCGCATTTGACCTTATTATACAATAAGATAATTTGACGATTAATTAATAAGTAATTAATTTTTAACTGATTAATTATTAATAAATAAATTTAAATTTGACAGTCATTTTAAAATTAAATCATTTGGCTTTCTGAATATATTTGCTTAGATTTATTTATTTTCATTGTAATAATATTATGATTAATAATTATGTTACAAATTGACATTGGTGCGCCCTTACATGTTTGATACTTTACCAACTACCTACTATAAGACCTAATGTAACAACATGTTTTGCAATAAACGATATTATTATTATTATTAGTCCCATGTGCCTGTAATTTCACCCGCACCCTTACCCTTCGAAACCGGAACGCCGTAATGTTCGCATTACTATTTGGAGGCAGAAATAGGTAAGATTTACGACTACTTTCACAAGGCGCTCTACTGCTACTGATCGGACAAGCACAAAGAAAAATTCCTTCTATCCGGCTAGATCCAAACCAGCACCTGTTTGCCAGACCGGGGCTAACCGATCCCAACTGAGCTACGGAATTAATCAGCAGACTTTACGAATTTCTCTCCGTCTCAGTCACAATCAGTTCGGAACATTTAAAATGCATGAAAAAATATTTAACACAAGCGCAGCTATTTTACACGATCTATTCTTCACTGGGTTCGCTGAGTAGCAAGGTAATTCCATTTTTACTAATATGGATTTCCTGAATTTATAAATATTATATTTTAGAAATAATAATTTAGTAATGTACTTCTATTTATAACTTACTACTTAACTCGGTAAAAGCGTCTTACCTCCAATAGCTCCGTATGTAATCATCATGAAAGGCACGTTGGTGCAGAAACTTGATAGCAAGAAACCGAAGGTGGCGATCACAGACCCCACCATACAAACCGCACGGCATCCATATTTGTTGCATAGTGCTGATACCACCGGACCTATAGGACAAATTAAGAAGTAGGTAAGGGTAGGTATACAATATTTCAAAATATTGTCCCAGTAGTTAATGCCCATCACAGGAGAGTTACCAGGTTTGATTTCCCATTTACGAAACATGGGTTTCTAGATTAGTTTGTAGGACAAGGCAAAATAATCAGGTAAAATATGTGTTCTATTGTACTATGTTCCATCTTTCGTTCAGCATGTTTTAACCAAACAAAATTTCATTTCATTTCAAGCCAGGCAATACCTTTGATTTTAGTACACACTAAAAAAGCAAATATACCGAAAAGCACAGCCCTCCCATTATGAGAGGAGGCCTGTGCCCAGCAGTGGGACTAACATATTATTATTATTTATACAGAAAAATGAAAGACAGTATACTTTCATTTTTCTGTATACAGTTTTATATCAGGTGACTGATTGGTTTAATAGAATTATAGAAACGTATTAAAATCAAGTGTATTTTTAACCGACTCCAAAAACAGAAGGAAATTCTCAATACGACTCTCTTTTTTTGTATGTATGTTACGCGATAAATCCGATACAATTTGTCAACCGACTTTGATGATTCTTTTTTTGTTGGAAAGACGGTACCGCTCAATAGTAGTCCGTAAACTAGGAGATGAATCCGGTTTCGCGCACTTTCCGATAACTGATTTCAATAAAACTTGGCAAATAGATGTAATACCATGCACTTTTGAGGTCGGTTTTTTATCATGTGGGCAAATTGCATGTTTCACAATTCTATGAAGATACTAGTTACTGTAAATCAATACTATTATTCGCATTAACACGTTTTACAAAGTGCTTATTAGAGGTATGTCGATGTACTGGAAACAGTGTCGGATAGGTGACGGAATATGTAGCTTCCTGTTTTCGAACGAGAGAAAATGATAATACAACTTACTAGTTATTGTGGACGCCTTTAATATAGCGACAAAACACCGAATCTCGTAGAAAGAAAAATATAGGTAAATGTGCCCAACTCTTGAAATTACGCAATTCCTGTAAAAGGTTGGCTGCTTAATACAATTTTAATCGGTATCATTCACGTGGTGTTCAAAAACAGATTTAAATCTTTATATATATGTATATAAATATAAATGTTAAATTTCATAACGATTTGTACGCTGTCAGCGATAAATGATAATAGTGTTATATCAAATAATAGGCACTTCTATATTACGATAATATTGTATATCTATAATTAATCTACACAATTAGGTCAATAATATCGGTAGAGATGGAGCGATATCAAACAACACGTTAGGACAAAAAGCATTTCGTCTCTTGAAGTTCCCGATTTCACATTAATACAAAGTAAGTACGTACGTACTGCTTACATGCAGGCACATGGGACTTATGAACTTATTGTCTAAGGGTGAAGGGCGAAGTGGCAGTGCCCCTCAGGTCTTTGCGGTTTAAATCTCGGATTGGCACTGCAAGTGTCTTGGATAGGCGTGTCGCTTACCGCACGACTTGGACGTCCCGTGTCGTTTGGTACTAACGTAGATATTCATAGATGAGCTTATAGATACATTTAGATACACCGGATAGCAATAGGAGATAAGGAAAAGAATTTAAAGTCTGAATATTGAGTAATCTTTTACGTCAATTTACTCAACTACTTACAATTATCTCTCGAAATATGGTAGTTGTTCTGTTTATCGTTTAGGTACACGATAAGATATTATATTTTGATCGTATCACATAATAAAAATTTAGAGAATATCGTCGCTCTTTCGACTATTGTAGGTAACTTGTATTATAGGCAATTTTTTCAGGGTGATATAATTCGGTCTAACACTTCACGTTTTGATGTCATGTCCAAATCGTTTCATATGGGCTTAGAGAAGAATACTTGAGTTTGAGAGCACAGTAAAATTTTTTTTATGATTCCAAGTGACGGGACGAACAAATCGTTCACCTGGTGGTAAGCGACACGCCTGTCCATAGCGGTTGCAGCGCCACTCAGGTACTCAATTCTCAAGTCAGGATGCAATGATAATGGCAAGGACTTGAAGCATGATTTCTAGTGCTTTGAATCATACTCAAGTTCTGACTTGAGCATTGAGTAGAGTTCTAGAATACGACCTTCAGAGCTTTAAATCGCAAAATCTTAAGGGCCACTGCGCCCGTCACCCTGAGACATAAGTTGACTAGTCCCGTGTGCCTGTAATTTCACCAGCACCCGTACCCTTCAAAACCAAAATGCAGCAATGCTCACATTACTACTTGGCGGCAGGAATAGGTACTGGTTCAGTACTTATCTAGACGGACTCTTTCAAGAGGAGGTCTTACTGCTACTTAGTAACGAAAAAAACTATCAGGTACGGTATTTAGTGAGGCGTGTCACATAACATGAAAAACGTATATTTTTGCAAGCATTTTGATTTAAGCATTGGATATTTAATTATTTTATAATAAAAATGACTATTATTTATTAACAATATAGTTAGATAACCTATATACGCACATTTCTATCAGTAACTTATATTATATTAGGTATATATAATATAAGATTAATTGGTGACAAGTAAACTAGTAATCTATCATTAAATATGATATGCCTTATAGCTATAACAATATGTAAAACTAGTACCTAATATGTAACTATCTAAATTGTAATTTTAGCTTACTTGGGATTTAGGTCTCTCTGGATTACGCAGGTGCCTGCCTATTTTGTTCGATTCTGAGCAAATTGAAACAACTTATTTTCACACTACAGATCAGACCACTATTGATATGTACTTCAAACTCTATGGCATAACGTATATAGTTCCATATGTTGTAACATTTTATTAAACAGTTACACATATCGTTAGATAGGTTAGTTATTATTTACGAAAAGATCAAACTCACCTACAGCTAAAAGTGATCCAGCCAGTATGCTGCCAACCAAGGCGATAGTTCCTTTTCCAACTTCAAAGTATTTTACTAGTTCCGGAAGAAATGCACCGAAGGAATATCCAATACCATCGACGACTAAGTTACACATAAAGGAAGCAAACACTATGACCCAACCGTACCCCCCATTTGGGGGCGGCGGTATCGCATCTTCTTCACCGTTCGTCTCAAAGTTCAGAGTTTCTTCTTCGTGGACGCTTTCATTTTCTGTCTGCAAACATTTTGTATGGGAACATTTTGTGACTGGTTTATAATTTTGTTACTACGAGAGTTGGATTTGCTTTCATTACCTTGTTAAGGACTATATCGTGTACTAAACAACTTAAACAAAAATTAACTGTAATTTAAAATCTTCATTACATTCACTATTTTTAAAAAAACTCACCATTTTTTTATCTAAAAACATTTATTAATTTTTAAATCAATTTCACAAAACAATTTGTAACGCCCACTCTGGTTGCAAAACCAACAATCAATGATAACTCTATTCCCATTTACAGTACGCAGACAATTTGATAATTTCTGATAGTGTGATGTATATGCTCATACATAGTGGTATACAACTTCAAAAAAAAAATCTTCAAAATTCGTGCGGCCACAACAAACGCTAACTGAAATAACAACCATACATGTACATATAATAATTGTGTTGTACTAAATAATAAATAAGGCGTGAAACTACTTACTCGTACACGTTACTTTGGCTCAATCCCAGGTTGTTTAGATACTATCAGCGTAGACAACGTATGTTAGTATAGTATGTTAGGATGTATCTTAATCAAGTCTCACTGCGTTATAAGAAACGTTGATAATTTTTTTAACAAATAGTTGTAGAAAATTATTAAATTTTTATTGAGATATTTTTTGTGAAATAACTCCACTAGTATTGTTATCATTATGAATACGAAGATCGAATAGAAAAATCACGTCGACGCGGTGGGACTTGAACCCACGACCGTTGTAAGCGCCGCCGCTAGCGGCGAAGAATGCCGAAAGTCCATGCAAAGATATATAACAAAAACACATAGGACAATTTCGACAACTACGCGACTTGGTAACTGGACCCGTGACTCCGTGGTTAGAGCAATGCCACGGTGCAGCATAGTCGTGGGTTCAAGTCCCACTGGTTCGATGAAAAAATAAGTTTTTTCTGTGTATTCGATCTTCGTATTCATAATTATCACATTTTGTAATTGTTGAATAGAAGTAATTCATCCACTCCATTGCACAATTGCTCAGTTGTATCAATCGATACAAATGAAATTTGAAGCTGGCGTAAAAATACAATTTACAGGTCGTAACGTACCCCAAATTTAAATTTCGAATAAGGTCAAAGGGCACCATGTTAAGTCTATGGGAAAAATATTCCATTGTAATTTTTTTTTGCGCGCAAACCTGCAGAACTGTGGAAAAAGAAAGAAATATGAAAAATATTTGCGCGCGGATTTCGTAGAACTATGAAAAAATAATATTACGAAAGACTGGTGCGCTTCGTTAGGCAATCGACATTCCGCTTGGTTACATTGTATATAGGGTGTAACAGGTAATTGTTCTGTAAATATAAGAGATGTCAAAAATCTTTAAACTGATATCGAAAGTACGTTACCTAATGAGTAAAATGACATCAATAACTTTTTTAAATAAAACTAGAAATATACAATTTCATTTAATTTAAAAATATACAATTTTAACGTTAAACGCTACATTCGTAGAGGGTATGCTTCGAACAACTGCTTTAAATATCTAGACAAAATTTTGTACTTGCTTAAAATTATAGCAGTTTTGTTATCTATAAACTTTTTTAAGAGATAACAATAAGTAGCGAGGCTTTAATTGACCTAAGAAGCGTCTGTAAATGTATGGGAGCGTTAACGTAAAATTTTGGATATATCTAGTTTTATTTTTGAAAAGTAATTAGTGTCGTTTTCTCATTAGGTAATGTTCTTTCGAAATCCATTTAAAGGTTTTTGATGTCTCATATATTTACTGAATAAACGCCTGGGCACTCTAAAGATTACACCATGTAAACAAAAGGTGATAAAATTTATTCCAATTAAAACACAAACCAATGCAATTTCATGAAAACATACACAGAAATTAGTCTCAATATAAAACAAGCGCGGTCAATCAGACATTTTTAAAGGGACCCAATATTTTTTTACATGCTCATCGATTTATTTATGCCACGTGTGTTTGTTACTATCCTTGCAAACAAATCTACTTTTTAACAAATTTCTATTTACTTAGATATTATGTACGGTATGATTCCTTAAAAGCATCATAATAAAATCATACTACCAATATTTGCCAGGGAAATCTGATTTCCATAGAATAATGTCCGCGATGAACCAAACACACAGTGACTTGATCACAAGTGAATACATTTAACAGACAATCAAGCAAAACTTTGTTTCCTCGAAATGCCACATTATCCTTAACATAAGCGACGCTACTAAATTGGGGCGATACGGTACTTTGCACCAATATAAATAAATAGTTACAATTAATGACCATTTTGATAAAATATACATGTATGAACTCGTCCTGTCAGTAATTTCCATGAGATAAGACAATCCAAACATTCCACGAGATATTTGTTCGAATTAATCATCGTCTGATGAAAGAGAAAATATTGTACCAATGTGGTAAAAGATTTAATTATGTATTTTAATAATATACGTATACGTACATAGATAAGGTGTACTAGCTATACTATACAACATGAATGCCTTGATTTTAAACACGATCCGTTCTTTCTTAACATACCTATAGTCTTCCTATAGTTTAAATCTTGAGGATGGAAAAAATAAAGGAAGTTTAAATATAATTATCGTCTTTCGGGACTTAGAGGATGGAAAAAAAAGTCTAAGTTTGGGACAGGCTTAGGTGATTGAGCTACACTGCCAATCTAATTGTCATTTTTCTTTTCTTTTTCATAATCATTTTTTTATAGGTGTTCTACAGCCAATAATATCCTTCCGGAGTTGTAAATACTAGTATTTTTGTCAAGTCTGAGCTCTCCAAGCGCCAAGAGTAAATTTATTAGAATCTTAAATAACAATGAAATATTCTGGGCAAACCAAGGTAATGAAGGCGGTATAGTGGGTTATTTTTCCAGAAGCCAGTCCTATACAACTAAAAATTTAAGAGTTTTGGTCTTTTACTTAATACTCTTCAATGCTCAATTCACAACATTGCGGCAAAACGGCACGAAATGATGAAAAATGAATTTTGTAACGATATCGTACATAGCATAATGAACTTTATGTTCAATTGTGTAACTTACAAACTTCGCGCATGCTCAGGAATGCCCGCGCATTTCCAGAAATGCTCGCGCATTCGCGGGAATTCCGCAGCTGCAGTGCGACGTCATGCGTTTACGAAATAGATGATAACTACTGATAACTGATGGAAAGTTGACCTATTTGGTGCAAAATCAATATTGTTTGTGTTATGTAAAAAGTCTAAATTATATGTGGCCGTATTATACACTAACTTATCAAAGCCCATTTCATAATAATGATAAAAAATAAAGATCTCATAGAAATCTTTGCAAAACGTTCAATATTGTCGAAAAATCTTCGTTTCGTCATGATTTGTGTTCATTATGAATCATGAACACAAATATCTCTTTTCCTTTTTCTGATCTTCTTCTGTTTCACAAATAAGCTAAATAGCAACAATATCCAAGTCCACCATCCTTGTCTTGTCGTGTTAAATATCTACACTGAGCAAGAGAAAGCCTGCTTCCGTTTTATATGTTTCGCTCAATGCAATGTAAATAGATAACAAAGGTTTAAAGAAAGACTGCAGTCGCCGTATACACCTAATAACTATTAGAAAAGAAAAACAACAAAAAGTCTTCATGTTGTTTTCCTAGATAAGTAGTTCTTTACTGTCACCGGATTGTCGATATACTTTTCAATATAATAGACTTACGGAAGGTACAAATTATTATATATAATTGTACCTAATCAGTTTCATGTAAGCGTGTAAGGAAAAGTTTTTTCGAGCTATCGTAATGTACCAATTTCTTCGTAGTCGTGAAGGTGTAGCAGAAATTTGAACTACACGTCTTGAATATGTTATACTTACCTACTTGGATAATATCGAATAAAGCGCAACATTTATATATATTATTTAACAAAGGTTAATACTAATTTGAATGATAAAGTCAAACTTTATCGTAGCTGTAATTATGGCCATACAATCAATGCAAAATCTAGGAGCAAAGTGTTCACGTATCTAAATTCTGCATTCTTTGTGATAATGTATGCTCCTTTCGTGTGCGTGTGTGGCGAATTACGGCACAAGGTCGTATTTGTTTTCTACAAAGAGCCACTAAATAGACAAATACACAAAGTATTTTTCTAACCGCTATTATAAAACTTGCTACCTAGCAACGTTACCATTATTTACTATAAGTGAATCAATTTGAAGTGTGTGATGGAACGATGCAACGTTGCCAAACCGTTTTGGATACAAATAATTAATAGATTTATAAATTAGTGGATAGAGAAATTAAAAGATCCATGTCAGTCATCATTAATCATTTAATGAATCTGTTATTTACAAAAGGTTCGGTGGACTGTCAACAATATAAGCATTGGTTGCCTCGCAAGCGCAGCGTTCTATCATGTTTTAAAACTTTAACAAGTAACCCCTTCGTCACTTTATATAGGCCTTATGCAGACGGCGAGCTGTCTACGAATAGCTTGATATTCATTTTAGTTCTAGAAAATATTTAGATAATTTTTGAAGTGAGCCAAAAGAAATGGTACAACAAAATGTTGAATAAGGTAATAATTCACGTACTCTGTCTATCCCGTCTGCGCTAAACTTTAATTGACACTTAAAAGGAACTAAATAAAAAAAATCACGCCACATTTCTTATTACATTAGCCCTGCTAAGTGGTAATCTACTAAAGATATTGTACACTGTTATCGTTACGATTGTAAAGTTGATATATCATAGGAAATCATGACTTTTAAAATGTTCAGCTGTTTACGAAATACTTTAGCAAAGCATTGAACTGTGTTTAAAGTAAATAAAGTGCGTATTTCAAGTCGTGCAAACACTTGAAAAAAATTCATTCAATTTTTCCATAGCTTAGGAGTCGTTCCATAGAAAAATAATCATTATATATTAATGAATAGACTCCTTAATTTATTCAATCGCATGTTTACCTTTATACACATTCTAAAAACGAAAGAAAAAATACTTCAAACCAATACTGAATAAAAAAATACATTAATTGAGAATTTTGTTATTATTTGTTGATATATATAGAACATTTCATTGCTTGTCAGGTCGATACATTCAATATTTAGTAATTACTATTTTTAATTATACTCTGAACTTTTGTTCAAAATATATTAAGTTTTTTCGAGTACAAAGAGAGTGTTTAAACACTGTCACAATTGTTATTTTACTCTAACAATAACGTTAGAAACATATTAAAAATGTGGTTGAAACACTTCTTATAAGTACTGAGCTATTGAAGCACATTACAAAACTGGATTATTAAATGAAAAAAAAAATAAAAAGTTACATGCAAAACTCAAACGCAACTATAAAATTATTTACAATGCTTAAACTACTCTCGATAACTTCAATACATGTCAACTTTAAGTCCTATAATTTATTCTTTCTTAAAAACATAATAACACTTTTGGTTTTTACATAAAGCTATAACAACAGTAACATTACACAATAACTCTTTCCAATAATAATACATTTTATACAATTTATAACTCAGTTTATATTAAACCTTATAAAGAAAATATTCGTAAATACTTTAACTCATTGATTATATACGATTATTTCATCATTATAAAGTTACAGGCTGTAACAAAAAAATTAAATTTTTTAATAGTTTTTCCGTTTTATCATCATTATCACATAATACTTTTAAATCTACACTTCACGTTTCTATACATCCATTAGTTAGACTAAATTTACTTATAACTAAATTATGCAATTCATTGACAGAAAAATATATATGACAAAAATATACGGTGTTATACTCTGCGTTATAATATTTACATTCTACAAGAATGGCAAGTGTACAACTTGTTTCGATTATACCCATAGTACAGGGTGTATCTTCGACCATCACACAAATTAAGAATGTAACGGTGCACATAAAAACAAACAATTTTTGCGAGAATATGTAAAGTGAAAACAATTTCTAACTCCTTTTAGAAATACCGCAATTTCTTTTTTATTGCAGTGTTTGTTTTTGTCACAATCATCTTCTTAAGTTTGTCTGGATTTATTAAAGATGCACCTGTATTATGAGTAAAATATTTGGTATTAAATGATGCACAGAAAATTGACTGCGTTGCTTCTTGTCTACATTAAAATACTTATTTACTTATCAGTATCACTTATTTACAGAAGGTTGTTCTTTCAATGGCACACGATAGATTGAGAAACTCCTAAATATACATTGAATTTAATTTTATATAAATTACTTCCTTTACGGTTCATATTGTACTTAACATGCCTACTACCTCTCAGAGACAAAAATCCCCATAACGTTCATCACAATATATCGTTATCAAGTGAATATAAAGTGCATCGTCCAGTAAAATCAGTTCCAGAAACATCTCTCTCAAAGAATAGTATGAAAAAAGCCAAGCTCGAAAAATTGTTACTTATCCTAGCAATTTTGGAAAGGCATGACATACTACATGGTATTTCCAAGACACTTAATTATCAGATTAAAAAGTATGTTCGAAAAGTGCACACTACTTAATTTTAATAGATTAGAAAATGTTTATTTTGCGGAATACGGTAATCATATAGACCAGGGAAATTAGGTAATTGTACGTGTAAAACGGAGGATTGATTATTCAGAAACAGCATCAATTTGTGTTGTGATAATTATTGATATTAAGTTGTATTCATATAAGTACGTACGAGTATATACAACAATAATAGAAAGAATGTTGTGAGAAATTGGCAACAAGTAAGTACTCTTTGTTTGTAAATGTTTTTTACTCATTATCGTTTCGGAACTTTTAATCAATACAGTGCAAAAAAAATAGATAGAAGTTAAGATTAAAACAGGAATATTTTAAGACGTGATAGTAATTGGAACCACCCTACCTATTTCAGTGTATGTATGTACAAAAGTGCATTAACTAATATCTACTATTTACACAAAAGGTATACGTAAAATCAATAAACATCGATTTTTTAAACGAGTAAGTACTTAATAGTCTTTGTCAGACTTATTGTCAAATACTTGAAATCAATGATTGCTAAACGAGCATTTCCTAATTTTGCAAGATTACTTACATTTGTACATCTCACCTGACGATACATGGAGATGTAAACGTGAACGGTACATTGCACGCCTAAAAGGTACCAGTTCGCTCTGATAAAAAAATATTCAGGTTATATTGTTAGGGCAATACAGAACCCGGCAAAGACTTCCAGGCCTTTGCTGTATCATAAATCATAATGAACGTAGAAGGAAAACGCTTCGGCGGAATTAACGTTCTACGACGGAAAGGAGCGGGCGGTTTTATATCTTGTAATACCATGATTGAATTAATTCCAGGCTGTCCATGGTTCGGCGCTAACAGCTGACGCAAATGCGTCGCCAAAGCGACGAGAGTTCTCCTAACACGAGCAATCTTGAGCGTGAAATCCAGAATTACCATTCGCACAGCTCGATAGATTGCACGGAAAATAAATTCTGCGCAAATAATTTGTTGTGTGGCGGTACAAACACGCCTAGTTCCTTTATGGTCGTCGCTCCCTTGCATTCAGTCGAGGTCAGGGAACAAACTTTCATAAATAGCTATCGTACTACTTGGGCCCTTAGTACCTACAGTCGATTCGCTCAGAACCGTTGCTCGGATGCCGCTACTCTCCACGACCAAGCATTTAAGTGCAACATACAACCAGCCCGTAAGTTTAACATAATGGCTATACCACAGATATCAAGCCAGACCACGACTTCCATCGCTTGTCACCAGGCACAGCTGTAGTCTACCACCCGTAAATAGGAAAATAAAATCCGTGGACGCAAACAACACCAACGAAACATTTTTTTTAAATCACTTGGGTCTAAGTACGTTTCCCTAAGTACATTATGCTGATATATGGAGTTTTTGAGAATAAAACATTCGTATCAATTCTTAGTTAAAAATTACAGCTCGCAGTAAGTATACCGATTTGGTAGTTAACACCACAAGACAAAGGTATGATGACACAATAATCGGTACCATTCACTGACAATTTTTTTTTTTTGTGTTGTTGGATGAACAAGACTAAGTAAACTGTAACTGTCTTGAATGTTAGTCGAAAAAATGGGATAAAAGTCTTGTGATCGTAAGTAACTATAATGATGGAAATATTATGGCAGTAATGTCTATAATTTCGTCTCACATCGTTCAACTTGACACTAGTGACAATTAGTGACATCTTGTAACTATGTAATTAAAATTACTTTTTTAAATAATTACACGAATTTTTCTTCGTCAACGATGTCGTTGCTTCCCTTGGTTCCGTCTCTCTCGGTTGTCCAGCAAATTCACCATTGAATGTGCCCCTTTATATGGCACGTTTAAATAAACAGGTATTAAATACAAAGCAAAATAAATATGTACACATATTGCTGGCAGTCATTTCTGGGCAATTACATATAATATTATTTGCCATAAATTATTATATACCTCATTATTTAAAATGGTAACTGCTAAATGTTCTACACATGTATATTCATGTTCTAAAAAATTAGTTCCTTTCAATTACTCCGAGTTAAATTTTATACATTATTTCAAGTATACAATAATTATTCCGTCCAGTTCTACCACTATTATATTATTTACAAGTTGTCTTAAAGGCAACGCCGTCAGTATGAATGAGATCCAGTAATTTGATATAAATGACGTTGTGGTAAAGACTTAGCTTGTAGTAAAGATGTACAGTCGATATCATCAATGACTTATAATACTTATATTCGGTTATTTCGCTATCACGTTTAAATTATAATCAAGGCACTAAAATGTCATACACTCGCATCACTTTCCTCACACCATAATTTCTAATTTTAGGTGTAAAATAACTACCCAAATTCAGCATGACTAATCTAGCAGTACAACGAGGCTAGAATTTGTCGAAGCAGGTTGAAATATTATATAGTACTGAGCTTATTCCGATAAATTTGTCCCTTTCAAACTGGCGCTAACTCGGCGTCTCACATGGGATGCAATTCGTAGCGAATTCATTTGATCCTATACATTCAAAGAAATCGATATTAATGAAATCGACTGTAAATTCGATAATCAATAAGCGGCAAATTGGAAGACAAAGCCGCCGTACTAGTAAGGCTACATTAAAACAGGATTGACGACTCCATCCTTTTTTGCTTCCATATTAAAGCATTGTAATTCTTCGCAACTAACAATTTAGTAGTTTGAACCTAAGAAGTCTTAATTAGCCAAGTTTCTCAAGTCTTTGTATTAATATTAGGAAATATATAAATTATAGTTACGCAATATACAGAAAAAGAGTTTACTGTTCGAGAAAATCGAAGAATCTTATCTAAGATTTGATAGATTACCAAGTATCTAAAAACAAAACTGCGCGTATTTAAGTGTAATTTGCGTGTTTGAAATAACTCAATTTCATTTAAAAAAAGTTGAGAGAGCTTTTTTCTTCCATAAGAAATGTATACCAACTATTCAAACCAACTATATAAGACTCCTTTGATTATTATTCCGCAATCATAGAACTATGTACCTTACAGTGACGTATCTAGAGCACACTTTCCCGCTGCGAGACCTCATCATAAGAAGGAGGGTCGGAGGGAGAGGCGGCGGTCTCGGTGATGGCGGGAGGGCGCGTGGCAATATGGGCGCCCATTGTTATTGGTGTGTCGTCGGGGTCTTCTTCGTCGCCTTCTTCGAGGTCCTCATCTATGGGGGTCAGCACGTCTATTGGGTGCTGAATTTCTTCATGTTTCCTGAAATTGCGAAATTTAAACTGTATAATAAATACAGTATGTAATTTACACTTTTCAGTACAGGACCATTTTAAAGTTCACTTATGTTACGCCTAATCTAGTGTACTACTTAATTCATTAAATGAAACCGCATGTTACTAATGGAGCAATAAACTTAATGATTTTAATTAATTTACAATGTAGAGATATAAAACTAAAGAATATTACTGATTTTATTAATTATCATGATATTAATTTATTTTCCGTGAAATTACTCGACTGTACTCCGTCCAACCGTTTATTTTACTTTTCACAGCTCGAGTACTAACTAATTAGTGATGTCCTAATGCGTTACCGATTCGATTTCTTATTACAATCACTTACATTTTATTCATGAAGAAATTTTAATCGTGAATGTGACCGGATCACATTCACAATAAATTAATAATTAATGTTACAGAGGATTCAAGTAATGATTCCAGTGCACATGGATAATAATTCATTATACTTGGTACTTGGTGTAACGGGCTGGTGTCCGCAACTCGACGTCAAGGCGCCTATTTTGCGCGTGGGAATAATGCATTATAATAATCACTTACAATTTATTATAAATATTTTTAAGTCATTAATTTTAATTATAATTTATTAGACAGGTACTAAAACCTATACAACGAATAATCTTCTTTTCATAATCTGTCGGCTCGATCAAATTATCCGACCCCAAGAGTATGTAGTGATGCACTAAAAAACAGCGTCCTTGAAGGACTGCACTTTTTTGTCTATGGTTGTCTATCAATAATTGTTGAACTTCATAGGCATGCTTATGTCTAAAATAATAAATCGTTGGACAAAGTATAGTTTGTTATAATTATTAATACAAAGATCGAACACAAAGAAAAGTTCCTTCCATCTAACAGGACTCGAATCTGTGTCTGTATATGAAATTAAGTCCACTGCTCTACCAACTGAGCTACACATCGAGTCAGCCGACCTTACGATGTGATTAATTAATTATAACAAGATTTTTTTTTTTAAAAAAAACAAGGTGCAATACTTTTTTTTGTATATTGTAAGTAATAACTTACCTGCGGAACAAAGGCGCAGCAAACGAAGTGAGCGCGGAAGCGAGGAAGAAAGCGGCCGCCATATAGAAGGAGGCATCATATGACTTAGTCGCGTCGAAGACCGCCCCGGCGAGGGGGGAGCCAACCATGGCCGCCGCGCCACGAAACAGGATCAGCAACCCGAAGGCATTCGTCAACTTGTCCAGCCCCAGCAGGTCCACGAGGATTATGGAAGTGAGGGAGATATAGCCAGCTGTGAAAAGAAAACAGGTCACATTATTATTATTCTACTCCATTATTGATTAACAATAAATTACCTATCAGCATTTTAGATTATAGAACGTTTTATCAGCAAGATATAAAACGTTATATATTATATGCCTATAATCTGTGTTTATACTACTTATGTAAGTATCGATGTTTTTTTATTTATCTGTTCATTTATTATATTTATCCGTCTGTCTCTCTTTCACGCTGTTGCCGGCTTATGAAATTTGTTCTTCGTGTTTTGGGTTGACTGGAAGAAATCCTTTTCTAGAGATCAGCCTAACTTTGGTCACTTTTGTGTAATTAATACTTCTTTTGCGTTTGTTTAGTGCAATAAAGAAGATATTAATAAGCTTAGTCTGCTAAGGCACATTCAAGAGGGTTACATAGGGGCGAAAGTATCAATATAAACGGACTGCGTGTTATAAAGTAATTTATAGAGTCGAGGGTTAAACATTAGCTGATCAAAATGTGTATACTATACTTACATATGGCAATACCGAATGCAATGGCAACTACTATGAAGCTAGCGTAAGAAACACAAAAAGGCGTAACCCCAACAGCTATCTGTAACAAACATAGGTATGAATACACAAACACCGTCACTAAATGACCATGATTTTACTACTTGTGCATATAAAATTTCAAACATATATTTGTTTTGTAATTTGCTTGCTTGAAATAATTCTTATCAATAATAGTAATAATTTTGAATTCTTATTCAACTCGACTTCTACTAGAAGGGAACCGTATGTTTACTATTGTTATTTTTATTTCTATTATGTTGTAGAATAAGCAGTTTGTGCCCTCTAAGATAAAATGAGTAAATAACTACAGCTTAGTTGCCAATGACTACGGCGGATTGTATTTTGTCTTTTGTTTTTTTTTATAAATACCAAGTGACGAGAGAAATAAGTCATTCGCCTGGTAGTAAGTGACACACAACACTTGCAGAGCCACTCAGAGCTTTAAATTTCAAAAATCTTAAGGGCACTGCCACTGCACCCGTCACCCTGAGACATAAATTGACAAGTTCTATGTGTCTGCAATCTGTCCAGCACCCTGAACGTTCAAAACCGAAACACAGTAATGCTCACATTACCGCTTGGCGGCGGAAATAGGTAAAGTGGCAGTACTTCCCTGGACGAACTCTTTCACAAAGAGCTCTAATACTGCTACTAGAAGTTATTAATGAATAACTGAAAATTTACTGATTTTAAATTCTTAGGGTCGTATCTCCAGTGCTTGAAATCATACTCAGATCCTGACTTGAGCATTGAGTAGAGTTCTGGAATACGACCCTAAGGGTCATACCACTCGAACCACTCGACCACTCGACCACTCGAAATCATACTTAAGTCCCTGCCATTAGGGTCGTATTTCCAGTGCTTATGTTTCCAGTGCAATCCTGACTTGAGCATTGAGTAGAGTTCTATAATACCCTAAGTCTCTAATTTAAGTACTTATTAATTTGTACAGTCATGTCAAGAAGTGCATACACTGCTATGACCGACTTTTTACACAAACTTAACGTGGCTGCCGCACAAAATGTACGGTACGAAAAATACAAAAAGCATTTTGCAAATTTTTTTTCGTTTCAATTAATATGTTTGGTGCTACATACATATATATAACCTAAAAATTACAAAAAGAATTGCGGAATTACAAAGTGACTACTTCTTCATTGTTTCGTGGCTATTTCTAATATTAATTTCTTACCGTAGCGATAACGAGGCAGATATTGTTGAGCAACAAAGAGTCAACCCACGGGAAGTCGGCGATCCAGCCGCAGGCGATACGACCGATCGTGTTCGTGATACCCACTATCGACAGCAGGAACGATGCCTGGTTGGCTTCTACGCCCTGAAACGTATAAAGAAATGGGTTACAAACATATTAATGCGCACGAAATTACCAATCTATAAGTAACGAAATTAAATCTACTTATCGCCGTCTAAGAGTAAAAACCTCGTATGTGATTTCCATGTAATTATTCTGGACGAAGAAAAAAAATGTGTTTTAATTAGTTAAATTATACCTATTTCAGATACTATATTACTTTACTAATATGTCTGAGCAAGTATAGAAGTTTTTTTTTTTTAAATCAGTAAAAACTAACTATGTGAAAACGCGTACGCGAGGTTTTCACTCTAAGGCGACGATATGCACTTCGAACAGAACCGGCCTATATTTCTCCCAGCCCGGGAATCACACCCGGGCCCTTTGCGTGGTAGATGGAAACAATTTCATCACATCAAGTTTTGTTCGAATATTGCCTCTACTGCAACGGAACAAGATCCGTCAATGTGTAGCTTGATGTGCTGCCGTCTTGTACGAATACTTTTAGTACTCATAAATAACGATTAAAGTTAATTTATATTGTTGTACTTATTATTATTTTATCGCAGCATTCACCAACCCAAATTTAAAATTTACTAAATTAAATTGTTAGCTACCATTAAAGTCACTAACAACTATGAACGCAAGTGTCCACAATAATTTATTATTTTTATTTTAAACCCTATTCGCAATTGCATATATTCCAAAACTGACTTACACTCCGTTGAGCAGCGTCCACAATGTAAACAAACGGCACATAAAGCCCGGCCATGCCGAATACATTAGATACTCCAATAAGCATGAAGGCAGGGTCTCTCAACAGACTGACATCCAACATTGTGGCCAGAGCAGACTTGAACGAGTTCGGTAACGCCAAGCATGGGCATAGGTCGTATTCTGTAAATAGAAACGGATATAATAAAGATTAGTATCAATATTCATCTTGTGTATTCAATTGAATTCGAATTTAGCCACCGAAATTAGGTAGAGAACGAGTTCGTTCATGGAATTACTGCCATTTTACCTATTTCTGCCGCCATGCAGTAATGTGAGTATTATTGTGTTCCGGTTTTGAAGGGCAAGGGTGCTGTTGAAATTACAAGCACATGGGACTTGTCAACTTGTCTCGGGTGACGGACGCAGTGGCAATGCCCCTCAGATATTTGCGATTCAAAACTCTGAGGGGCACTGCAAAACCTGAAAATGACTGATGAGTCAGCCAGCTATAACCGTCAGATGTTACGGTTATAGCTACATAGTATTACCTGTGGTTGAGTGTACTTTATTTCATTATTACCCAACAATTTAAATCTTAGATGTGTAATTGGGATTGCCATTATTTCGGTATCGTATTGATCGTAAAAAAGACATTATAAGCGTATTAGTTTTTTTTTAATTACTATACAAGCGGTCGCACGACCATGCCATATGGATAGAAAGTAAATATTTTGCTTCATAGAGACATTATCTATCTTTAAACGTAGATAATACTGCATTCAACGATTTTTTTAAATAGGAAATGAAACTATTTTTCCGGATTTAAATCGCGTATATTTATTTTTTCAAACAAACCGACGTTTCGGGCCCTTTACAGGTCCCATTGTCACGGTTGACAGTCAACCTGTAAAGGGCCCGAAACGTCGATTTGTTTGAAAAAACAAATATACGCGATTTAAATCCGGAAAAATAGTTTCATTTCCTATGTGTAACAATCGCGAAAACCTAAGAACTCGATTTTTTAAAAGTTACTTTGTCAATGATAATTCCTACTCACGTTCTGCTCGTTCTAAATCCCCGGTCTGTCGACTCTGCGGCAGACTTAGCACCGAATTACGATATCCCTGTAGTGACTTCTGACTCTGGTACTGAGGTAGATTGAGCACTGAGCCCGAGTAGAATATGTCCTTGCGAGACATAGGCCGCACCATACGGGAAGGCTCTTTGGGACCAGCGACGGAGATCTTTGAGGTAAACATTACGCTGTCGCCGTCACCCTGGAAATGAGAGAAAGTAAGATCAGATAAGAATTTTTTACCTTAGCCTAAGGCCCCATGCACCCGGGGCAGCTCACTTAAGGCTAGCCACTAGGCTTTTGAGAACCGGATGAAGTCTATGTAAACTGGATGACCTAGGGTCAGGACCTGCCTCATAAGATCCCTGTGCAATCTTGCTTGCACAGGTTATAGTACCCTTCTCGTATACCCTGAAGGTCGGTGGGGAAGGTCACTATAAACAAAAACTTAAGTAGAAACATACGGAGGAGTATGACCTAAGGACCCCGTGTATATCAAAATCTATATAATATGTGGTGAACAGAGAATATTGTTCTTGTGATCATGTAAGCGTCCAGTGTAGTTTATAATGAAAATATCGCATTCAAATTTAGCGCTTTATATTTTACAAGACTAGAAAAATGTCTAGAAAATATATCTAGAAAAACACGTTTTTCATACAAAACTGAGGGCATACTTGTTTAGGCCTAAAGAATTGCATTATATTTAGTACATGCTATACATTGAGCGTTTAGCATATCCTTATTGTAGTTTGCTGGGTCTTAGAAGGTTACAGATTTCATTCTAAATTTAAAACATCAGTATTGCAATTTTATTATTTTTAGCGCCACAGAAAATAGTGGTAGTGCCTAATCACTCCTGGAGAATATTACCTGTGACAAAAAAGTACCGCCATTACGGGATAACTCTGCGTACTACAATCTGCACGTCGTCCTAAGATTGCGTTTTCGCGTTGAGTTTTCTGCTAAGTGCGTGTTTGGTATCCTGAGCGTGTATGGCTTTAGATAAGATTTTCAACAATATATGTATATTACATTTTTTTTCACTTCTATATATAACTTTTTCTTCACTTATAATTGCCACGATAATGTTTACAATGTTTTTATCAGTGTTCAAATCTATACGCAATAAGACAAATCATCATACGAAAATAACACTTAGTCATTTCCTTCTTAAAGCCTTGACACCAATAGGTATTACCACCATAATACTCTTTGTTTCACCCGTCACAGGTAATGATCGCCAACAGAAATACATATTTGGACTGCGTCCAGCCGCAGTGCAATTTGGCAAGACTCCTTACAAGAGTTTCAAGGCCTTTCCTCCTTTCGCTAGAAATGCCACAAAATGTTTTTTGTGAAACTTTTCGCCTAATTAACTTCTATAAATATATGCCCAACAGATTGCAAGGAACAATGAATTCATAAGAGTGAAATAGACGTACTATAAGTTTCCGGAACTGGCCACTTACATAAACAATGTGCGCCGTATGATCAAAACAGACAGGCAAGTGACATACCATGAGATTCGGGCATCTTTAGGCGTAGGCATGAGTCAAATACAATCAATACTACACAAACATTTGGGTGTGAAAAAGCTGTGTGCTCTCGGTGGATTCTACATAATTTGATTGAGGCGCAAAAAAACGGATCGCGTCATTTGGTGCAATGCCATGCTTACCAGATTCAACGAAGGGGCGTCAAATTTAGTGTGGGACATAGTAACAGGTGACGAAACATGGATTTCATAGTTACGATCCCAAAACAAAGCAGCAATCGAGCGTATGGGTCTTTCGAGATGAGCCGAAACCAACCAAAGTGGCGCGCGTGTAAAGTGTCTCTAAACGGATGATTGCTTCTTTTTTTAATAAAACTGGACACGTGGCTACTTTGGAGAATCGTTGTACCGTGAATAGTAATTGGTTCATGATCATTTGTTTGCCGGAAGTTATTGACAAACTCCGTAAAAATAACCGTAAACGCCGTATCATCTTGCACCACGATAATGCCAGTTCTCACACGGCCAGACAGACAAATGAATGTTTGAAGGTGAACAACGTTGACCTTATGGGCCATCCCGGGTGCAGTCCCGACCTGGCACCTTGTGATTTTATTTATTCCCAAAAATTACGAACCAGTTACGCGGTCAACGAGTTTCATCACCTGGAGAGGCTGTCGAAGAGTATGAAAAATATGTTTCAGAGATTGTCACGGAGGAGTAGCATAAATGTTTTCAAAATTGGTTCATTCGTATGAAAAACTGCATCAACGCTAACGGAGAATATTTTGAAAAACAATAAATTCATTTTTGACCAATTATAATATTTTTTTAAATTCATTCCGGAAAGTGAGTGTTCGATCTTTGTATTTATTATTATAACAAACTAGTGGAGTAATTTTACAAAAATAATTGAATATTAATTCAATAAAAATTTAAAATGCAGTGAACAGCGACATCTTTCGCCAGGCCTGGTAGCTGCAAAGGTACTAACTGGATGATAAATATTTTATAGATTTCTCATAGATATAGGCGTTACGACTAAAAAGTCGTTGAAAAACCAAATACAAAGACACGACGCAAGCACATAGAAAAATTCGTGAGGTCCGATGGTTCGTTCCGTGGCTTAGTTGGTATAGGGTCTGGCACGGTAAGCTACAAGACGTCGGTTCGAATCCGGCCGGATCGAAGGAATTTTTTCCGAGTGTTCGATCTTTGTATTAATAATTATATCATTCTGGAAACTTATAGTGCGCCCCACATATAGTCTGTTCTTTTTTGAAGACATAGTAAAATGACAGTTCATTGTGCAAAAGTGTTGCGCTTGCAAGCAGTGATTGCCGTCGATAAATATTATATCCACTATCGACTGCATGTTGGTTACGCTTATGAAATAAATGACTGTACTTGTTCATTTGAATCATCATCGGCCCATGATTCGTCTAACTGCTGGGCACAGGTTCATTTGAATTGTTAATTTTTGAAAATTCATTAATGATGAAATCAACTGTCAAAATAAGAATGAAGAATACAAAAACGCAATGAGTAATCACTAAGAACGTCGTAACATTCACAATTCAGAAATTTTTGGCAAAATTTTACCTACTTTCACAATCTATTGATAAAACTGTCGCCAACAATCACATCACGATTTAAAATTTTACGACAACGGGCAACACCGCAAATGTCAGTTTACTCCATCTTCAAAAAAGACTGACTATACAACTATACTTTCAATGAGCCTATTTATTTCATGCGACTCATTGAAAACCAGCGCCACAGCCTAAAGATGGCCATGCCTTAAGCTAAATGAGGCAAAAGGTTGCGTACGCCACAACCGAACAAATAAAAGTACTAATTTTAGTCGTTTTTTGTTTATTGCTTTATTTTTTATGTTGTTCCATTTTGGTTGTATTTTGTTAACTCTTTCTATTTTGTTTCGCACCTGTGTTGTGGCGTTGCAATAAATGTTTTTCTATTCTATTTTAATTGTAATACATTGAAGTTATGGTTTTGGAAATATAACCTCTTTTCCTACTGACTGTGGCGTAACAGTGGGACCCAAATTGATTTTGATTTTTTTGAAAAATAGGTCACGAACATTGGCTTGTTTGGAAAAACAAATATGCGCGATTTAGATCATAATAATATAATATTTATTCTTTATTTATACCATGTTTATTTACATCTCATAATTCCTCGCCTGATTCCTTTTTCACTTTTTCTCCAACTTTCAAATCCCGTTTCCAAATTACATTCCATGATGTTATAAAAGTTTCCCCGTTTTAAAAACAAGTTAGTCAAAACACTTTGAAAGTGGCTAAAACGCTTACCGCGAAAAGCCAAGAGGTATATGAAAGAAAGAAAGAAGAAATATAGTTTAATTTTCAAAGTGTCACAATCGCGAAAACCTAAAAACTCGATAAGTTTTGTGAATGTTTGACAGGGCTTCACGGATATTCAAATAGTTTTATTTAAACTGAAAACACATTTGCCGCAGCTACAGAAATCATTTGATCGAAATCTCAGATAAATCACTTCGCACTGATAACAAAATTTATCACCATTCTTTTGAGATTATTTTACGTCACTGTTTGTGGTTCCGTTGGGCTCTATGTTTATAGAAAATAAATAATGATAAAATAAATAAATAAATGTTAGACCACATCACATACGTTGCACCGATCCCAAAATAAGTAACTAAAGCACTTGCGTTATGGAAATCGGAAACAACGACGGTACCACAAACACCCAGACCCGAGACAATATAGAAAAATTTTCTACAATGACCTGGCCGGAGATCGTACCCGGGACCCCAAAGATGCCAACATCCTCAAAACCAGAGTGCAAGCCACTCGACTACGGAGATTGTTAAAAGACATCATGTTTCTTTAGCCTGTTTAAACAAAAACAATAAAAATAAATCATGAAGGACGAATAAGGTCTTGAGGATGTTAAATAATTTCCTTATCAAATGAGACTAATTTATCGAAAGTAAACTATACTCACATCATTTCTGTATTGACTATTAACGGAAGTTTTGGACGTGGCTTTGATTGCAGCTAAGGACGGCTTGAATCTGAAATTGCGGAAAAAAACTATATTAGAGTGATATAAATCCTTAAAATGTAACTACAATATAAAGCTTCACATAACGGGGATAACCCCGGGAAAACAAGAATACAACTAGAACTAGCATTTACGGTCACCATACAATTGCACTGTTAGAAACAACAAATATTGGTTAAGACGTCCTAGATATTTACTGAAGAATTAACCGCAATTATACAACACGTACACTGAAGTCTCTTTACACATATAGACAAAACATTTTGACCACCGAACACCTAAATATTATGAAAAGATCTACAATAAGCCAACATATCACAATTTAAACAATAATCGTCATCCACTTTTATCTCATTCAAAAGACGATGCGATGTCGACACAAAACCGAAGATCGTAAGTAATTTACCACCATCATACCACCACCCGAATGCAAATAAGTTCACAATACCTATCAGCTGGCTTATCGCCGGTGCCGATTTTGCTTTGCCTGTCGAAGGTCGGAACTGATCCGTTTTTGGGCATTAACGCCTGTCTGAACAGAAAATATAAGCAACAATAAATTTGGTACACCAATGTCTTCATGGTCAGCATGAACAACGGGTACTTAACCCGTCATGCGTGTTAGAGATACACGGTGTTCCTAACGATTTTGGTGCTGTAGTGTCCTAGAGCCACGCGGTGTCTCTGACGCGCAGCTATTTTTTATAATTTACAAAAAAAAATACCAAAACCATTTTCGATCCGTACTTGGTTAATATTATCAATTTTAATATAAAGAACACCCCACAATTAAACGTGTTATCTCTGGATATGTACTGCTAATGTTAGCAATAATTAGTTCATTCACGTTGGACTTGATATTAAAAAGACTAAGGGAAAGAACAACTTCATTGGTTTAGGAGTCACATAGGGCTTCAGTCCGTGGTGAAAGAAAATGATGCAGGCATAGTATAGTTATAGTCCATTTCACATAGCATGGCCACGGTGACGTCAAACGTCATTTGAAGTTTCTAAGGATGTAGTAATGTAAAATCGAATGAAAAACAATCGATATATATATCTTATCAAAATAGTTTGTAATGAAGAGCGAATCGATTTAGACACTAAAGTTTAAGAACATATAATAAACAAAATTAAAAGGATTCAATTATAATATTATTAAGTTACTAAAAAACTACACATCAATTTCAAAAATCAACAACAACTTAACAAAAGGTCTACAAAAAATCATAAAATCAATAGCAACGAAACGTAATTTGAACAATTACTCCAAAAACATCAAGCGAAGCTCAAAACAAAAGAAAACGACCCGCATACAAGGTGAATGCACACGTATTGACGAGAGATACACAATAGCCGATTCGATTTATCCATTTAATGTTGTAAATCTCTATGGATAAATACTCCGTTTTACGCATGAAGTAGTTAGGGTAATTTATTTTTATCTTTATGTAATTTTTACTTAATACTACGACTGAAACAAATATTGTTTGTTTTTTGGTCTATTGTAACAAATTTACAATTTCGTTTTATAACCTTTTTGGGGGTTGACGTTGCTCACTTCCGTAGATTTACCCTCGAGACCAGGGTCTCGAATCAAGTGACCCCTGTGTGGTGCTAAAGAGCAATAACTACTGGTGGTAGGCTTCAGCCGTGGTATCCCGCTAGGATACCACATGTTGAACCTCATACGACTAGTTGCTTGGACCTTCTGCTGACAACTGATCCGGACCGATACTCTGTGGTTGTGGATGCCCCACTGGGTACTTCCGACCATTGTCTGGTGAAAACTGTATCCGTATACTATCCTCCCGATCATGGCCTTAGTGGTATGAGACGGGTGTGGCGATACAAATTAGCAGATTGGGACGAAATGCGCCATTTCTTTGCGTCATGTCCCTGTCAGGCGTGCTTTACTTCAGGAGACTCGTCGAGCTGTGCTAATGCTGTAGTCGAGGGCTTGCGTTTGGGTATGGAGTATTACATACCATACTCTGAGGTACCCAATGGATCCCAAGCTCGTCCATGTTTTAACGCTGATTGTAGTTGTGCTGAAGCACATACACAGTCCACGCACCAAGCTTGGGCAGATGCTAGACTACGCAAAGCTCCGAGTACGCAGAATTTGAAGAAAGCTTTTAACAAAGCCGCCAAGAAGTGCAAAAGCGTGTTACGTAGAGCCAAGTTCGACCATGTGCGCCACATAGGGGCCAAGCTTGCCTCTTATCCAGCAGGCAGCAAATTCTTTTGATCTCTGGTCAAAGCGGTCGAATCTAACTTTTGTCGCCCATCTTTGCCACCTCTGCTGAGTCCGGATGCCTCACTGGCTCATACTGCGGAAGAGAAAGCGAATGTCTTTTCCTCACTCTTTGCAGAGAGTTCGCGTCAGCCTAATTTACCACCTAATTTACCTCAGACTGGCTGCACTATGGCGCCAGATCGCATATGCCAAAAAGAGGTACTTAGAACTCTGCGAAATCTAGACGTGAATAAAGCTAGCGGGTCTGATGGAATTCCAGCAATAGTCCCGCGTAACTGTGCGCCTGAGTTCTCACACGCAGTCTCTCCTGTTCTGACACGCCTGTATCGCCTCTCACTTGAAACTGGTGTAGTTCTCAGGTTGTGCAAACGTGCAACCTGTGCCAAAAAAGGGAAGTAGAGCCTGACCCTGTCAACTATAGACCTATCTCAGTCACTTCCATACTCTGCAAGACTATGTAACGTGTACTCAACCGTCTCCTATCATACCTTCAGAAAACGACCTACTCAGTGATCGCCAGTACGGATTCCGACGAGGGCGATCTACGGGGATCTTCTTGTGTATGCCTGTCACATATGGAGCGTGGCTATAGAAAAGCAAGGCGAAGCACTTGCAGTGTTTTTGGACATTTCTAAAGCATTTGATAGGGTCTGCCACGCAAGTCTTTTAAGTAAGCTTCCCTCTTATAGGCTTCACACTGACCTTTGCAATTTTATATCGGATTTCTTGAACGAACGTTCGATTCGAGTGGTCTTAGAAGGCTACTTTTCCGAACATAAGGCGATAGATATTTCCTCAGGGTTCCGTACTGTCTGTAACTCTCTTTCTGCTGCATATTAATGATATGTTAATTCCAGGTACCTTTGCGTTATTTTTTTACAACTGTGCTGTATGCTGATGACAGCACAGTTGTAATAAAATAAAATAAAATAAAATGTTTATTTCAGTAATACAATTAACTTTACATTAACAGTGGATGGTACCTTATCAAGCCTGTATTAGGAGGCACCGCTCCTCCATAGCTATAAATGCATATTTAACATTTTTAACTTATACTTACTGTAGTGTTTAATTTTTACATTTACATTTCCGCGTGCGTGCGTGCGTGCGTGCGTGCGTGCGTGCGTGCGTGCGTGCGCGTGTGTGTGTGTGTGTGTGTATATGTGTGTGTATTTGTGTTAATCTGTTGCCAAAGATATATAGGAAAGTAGTGTTTTTAAAGCAAGTGTTCTAATAGATCTTTGGTTTCCTCATACGATTTCGACTGTAGCCATTTTGTTATAACATTTTTGCAGTCTCTATAACTTTTGGCGTATATTTCTAATTCCTTATTAATCAAATTGTACAAATGGGCCGATCGTTTGCTGAATTGTCTGTTTGCAAATGTTGTATTTACTTTAGGTACTTGTACCACAGTGTCTTTCCTTCTCCTTTTCGAAATATATGTTGTCTGAGTACAGTTTTAGTGATGTAGAGCTTCCTTACAGTCGCTAATTTGATAGTTGATACAAACTGCTAGTGGCAAATCGTCTTTTTTTAAATACATTATTTTAAGCAAATTGCGTTGCGCATGTTCCAATTCGAGAAAAAGAGTTTTAGCAGCTCCATACAGGAATACAATACATCAATAAAATTGTAGATAGGTACTTGAACCAATGCAAGGGTCAGTGGAGAGGAAATCCAGTCTTGTCGAGAGTACATGGTTAGCCGTTTAGATTTGACACTCCAGGCAGTCTCCGATTGGGGCAATGCCAATCTTGTCAAATTTAATGCTACCAAAACGCAGGCATGTCTATTCTCCACAAAACGGAGTCCCTTTGCGCTGTCTCCGACTTTTCGTGATATTTCCATACCGATAACCGACTGTCTCCAGCTACTTGGAATGGACCTGTCGTCCAATTTGAACTTCGGCAGATACATTGAAGCCATGGCCACAAAATGCAGCAAAGAAGCTTCGGGTCCTTTTCAGGGTGAGGCGTTACTTTACACCGGTACAGTTGCTTCAGCTGTACCAAGCACAAGTCCGATCGTGCATGGAGTACTGCTACCACCTTTGGGATGGCTCTGCTAAATATTAACTGGCCACTTTGGATTCAATTGACAACCGTGTCAAGAGACTTATAGGTGACTAGGAGTTAGTGGAGGCGAAGCTGCAGAGCCTTAAACACCGCCGTAAAGTTGCCTGCTTATCGGTGTTTTACAGGATATATCACGGAGTGTGCGATGGAATTACATGATTTAATTCCGCCTTCCCCTTTCCATCACCAGGGGAGTAGGCATAGGCTTGGGTTCCATCCCTTTGTTGTGGATATACCAAAGACTCGCATGAAGCGTTACGCTTCCACATTTATATGGCGAACGGCTATGTAGTGGGATTCTCTGCCTGCAGACTTGTTCCCTGAACGTTATATCTTGGGTCTTTTCAAGGCGAGAGTGAATAGGCATTATTTAGGTGTGCATGCTCCATCGTCGACCTCACCGTCATTTTCCATCAGGTGAGATGGAGGTCAAATGCGTACTTATATTTTAATAAAAAAAAACTGATTATGAAAATAATTAAAAATAGTATGGATGCAACGTAAAAATTTGAAATGTCACAGTACCCATCCTACGTGAAATGGACTATAGTACAACTCTGAAACCGGGCCTGTGTTTACTACCATAATAAAGATTCTGTGTTGTAAACTTTACCAAAACTCCGTCACCGCCACCTGGATAAAAGTAATACTACAATACCTATCAGCTGACCTATCGCCGGTGCTATGTTTCCGCTGTCTATCGAAGAACGGGACCGATCCGTTCTTGGGCAGGCCGGGCGCTTGCGAGCTGAAGGCAGGAGATGACACGTTGCGAGACATTTGTTGCGACTGTGGTGGTTGAGCTGCAACATGTGCTGTGCCGTTCTCGTTCTAAAATGGAAAGTGTAACTCTTTAACCATCTCCGAAGTCATTTCTATATTGGCGCACTGTTTATTTTAAACCCGTTATGCGACCTAAAGACACACGGAAGCACTAGCGATTTTTGTAAAAAAAACATAAGTATAATATAAATATTTTTTTAAATGGTGGAAGAAAACACAGCTGCGCGTTAGAGACACGGTATGGCTCTAGGATGCTACAGCACCAAAATCGCTAGGGACACCATGTGTCGCTATGACGCATGACAGGTTAAATTCCAAAATTTAAAAAAAAGGCTTCTTCTTATATGTTTAAAGATAATAATAACAGATTTGTACAGGGCTAATACTTATAGATATAAATAGAACGAATATCTGTGAAAACCAATAAAAATAAATAAATTAAAGTCTAAGAACTACTTACATGAAGGACCACTTGCCTGATAGATATTTAAATGAAAAGTAAAGCCGTGATAGCGTACATCAAGTGCTATAGATCTATTTTTTCGAGTTGTACTGTTTACTGGTGATATTTACAAATAATTATAAATTTACGTTGAATTAAACAGATTATAAACTTGCCTTTTTCTCCCTATCAGCTCTGTCGTCGACTACAGCGGCTTCGGTAATAGTGGGCAGCGTAGGTGCAGTGGGCAGGCCGGGCATATTAGGGACGGTGGGCACACGCGCTAATGCTTCCAAGTTCAATGAGGAATGCACTCCTGGGTCTATGTTTAATGGTGCCTGAAAAGAACGAAATTTTAAATTGTGTCTTGAGATTCACCATAAAATAAATTGTAACATTCTGTTAGGGCGAGCAAAAAATTTCTATGTAAAATAGTGATGTCAAAACCTAAGTATTATTAAAGCGTCTTTTCTAGATTTTGTATCAGGTAAATTTTAATGTGTACTTTTTCTTTTTATTTCAGTATGTAAACAAAGTTTAATGGTAATATTCAACTGTCATGGAGATGACAAAACGTAAGTACATTTAAGACTTTTCATAATGATAATAATATTAAAATAAACCATACTAAAACCAAACACTGAAAAAAGTGGATAATGTGACTTTACTCCTCATTTGTAATTCATATAATTTTGTCTATAAAGGATGCTAACTCAAGCTGTTGTGTGACATTCGGTAAATTGCACTTAAGGCGGGTCACCTGAAGATTAGCGGCAAAAACTGTTTTGCTACATCAAATGTTTGAAGTACTTACTTTAAGTAACAGTCTTACAAAAAATATCTGACACACCTAAGGATATTGTCTGAAGAAAGTGCTGATTCGTTACACGATACGATATACTTTACCCGATCATATAAAATCCCGAAAACAAGCTAAAGTAAAAGACTAAAACGAATTATTTAAGAATAAAATATGTAACTTTGCACATCATTTTTATATGGAGCTATTTCTAGTTAAGTACTGTAGAGAACCTGCTAAATTTTAGTTTTCAACTGAGGCTTTTTAGTTATTAAATTCACATTTAACCCAAAACTTGAAAATTGCCCAACGGTTTAACAACAAGCCGCACCGCCCGCTGGTCAGGTGCTTGTCAACGTCGGATCTGTGTCAAATTTTCACCGCCTGTTCTGATTTTATTCCTATTAATTTTAAGCGCACAGATTGAGTGACGCGAGGGCGGCCCCCACACCTCACTTCCTACAGTCCAGTCTCGCGTCCAAAAACGTCGCCTTAACTCCCTAGTTCCGCTTAAGCTGCAACTCAATACAACCTACCTTTAATCTCTTTTCCATAGTCCCGTCTGGCAATTGTACTACGAAATACGAGCCGCCAATTGATCCCCTTTCCATTTGCAGTCTTTTCTCTTCTGCCATGCGTTGTAGCAAAGGTTTTTCGCCTGATGTCTATAGATTACAATATTATATTAAACACTATAAGCAGTAGAAAGCTTCATAAATAATATTAACCCTTAAGGCCCCATGTACTTCAAAAATAATAATATTTCAATCTTCTCACCTTAGGGTACACCAGAGGCCTCATCAAAGCACCAAACACAGCACAGTTCAGAATGAGCCCTGCCAGTAGCAGATTCGCATTCTGCCAAGAGCCAAACTCTTGCAGAAGCAGACTCGCCAATGGCGCGAAACTGAAAGTTCCTACCCCCGACCCGCAAACAGCGATACCTGTCGCTAGAGATCGTCTCGTCTCGAAGTAGTACCCCACAGCCACGACCGAAGGTAGGTATATCATTCCAAAGCCTATACCTGTAACAAAGAAAGCAATTTTGAAAGGTTTATTATTATACTATAAAACAGAGTTGGACAAAATACGGCCCACGAAGAGCTTTAATCCGGATTAAAGCCGCCAACGTCTCTTGTACAGCGGGCTTCCCACGGCCCGTGGTTGCACGGGTCGCACCGCGCTAGCTCACGCTAACGCGCCGTGGGGACAGAGTCGCCCGTGCCGGCGCCGGCGCTGGCTCGTTATATTACAGGCCGTGGGAAGCCGCCTTAAAAAGTATGAGTGTATGGCCCTCAGAAAGATTTTGATAGCCTTGTCGATATCGACACAAAATAACATGTACAAGTATAAGTTAACATACACACAAAAAAAATAACACGACAGAATAGTAATTAAAAATAGTTCAAAAGACACGCAATTTTTTTTAATTTTGGCGGCCTATGCAATTTCTTGTTTGTTTGGTCCCTAATGTTGCACACCCTTGGAAAAACTAATCTTAACAATTATTAAAATTCCAACATGAAAGAAACCCAGAATTTTAATTGAAATTACGACTCTAACGCATATAAAACAAAGTACCTACTTTGTAACGGAAATGCCTTATATTCTCTGTTTTGCATTATAATGATAATAACCAACAGTTAAATTAATTAATAAAATTCATAATTTTCTTATAGTATTTATTTCAATGAAAATTATATGATAATTTATAAAAGCTGATTTGCGAATTTAGGCTCCAGTCGTCGAAATGACAAAGGACTTACATCTTTTCCCAGAACAAAAAATAATCCTTTGAGATAAAGTAAGTGTAGTAACAAAGACAGAGATAGGGCTGCTTGGACAAGTCGGATATGTTGAGAGAATGAATGAAAGAAGATTGACGAAACAGACAGGCGAGAGTGAGGGCGCGTTCCCATTATGTCGTGACGACAGATAGTAATGTAGTTTAAAGTGTCGTGGTTTGCATATTTAAATAAAGTTGTACACACATAGAACAACACGATTAACTGTAGTTCACTGACTGACTTTTTTGACGTTACAACGACAGACTGTCGTGACAATGGGGAGAGCTAGAACGACAGTCATCCAATGCCAAAATAAAACGTTACTACATAATGGGAACACGCCCTCAGCGAGCAAGTTGTTAAGGGACTACCAATGCGAACTTACCATGACCACATTGAGGACGTCCTAAAGAAAGGCCAGGTCAAGAGTACCCTTAACCGAAGAACATTTACGAAAGAACTGATGCATATTGAAGTGAAAGTTGTGTGTCAGGATCGTAGCAAGTGCTGTTGTCTTTGCCTATCCCGATGGGCAAAGGGCGTGAAATATATGTACAAAGGACAACAATTCTAAATTCAAAGGACAGGACCATGATTAGCAAATTTATTTCGGTCGGCACGTTGCCAGACCAAAGCGTAGTTCGATCGAGTTGCTTGAACTCACGTACTACTAATGTTGATAAATAAAAAGGGCTAAATATATATCTGCCTCGCTCGGTTTCAATCACGTTTGTACAAACCGATGAAATTTTGTTAGCATCACAGCATTTCGTTTACAAATGTTTTGAGTTTGTAAGTTATTGTTTTCTTTATTTATCTTCATTACATGTCACAATAAAACTGGTAGCAATGCGATAGCATGTCATATACATGTATCACCCAATGCGAACCATGCCCGAATTTGAACAGCACTAATCAAAACAAAAAATATATAAGCATAGGGATCAAATATCCTCGTATTCTGAAAGACAAAATCGAATGTCTTTTGTTCAGCATATCAATACTTCGGAAAAAAGGGCTTAAGTGACAATTTTAACAAATGGATAATAACGTAATTTAGTAAAAATTTTCATTCTCTTTTGAGCTATCTACTCAATGTTTTGTTATTCGGCAAAGTAGGGTTTTTTTACGTTACGTAAACATAGAAAATAAAAATGTTAAACAATATGGCTTTGTATGAACCTATATATGAACCAAACTGTTGTTCACTCGTGTAAACTTTGCACTTTGGCTTTTAAGCCCTTTCATCCTCGTAGTCATGTAAGAGTATCGATGTATAGCGGACAAGAAACCGATATCAGTTTTCAGCTTTGGTGTTAATTTACAAAATTAAATGAAACCATAGGTCAATTTAGTATTGCAAGCGGTAAACACAAAGTATCTAGTACATGATATCGCATGAGTCAGTGTGCTTGGTTGCCCGCAAATTGTTTGAGGCACAAACAGTACAAAGGAACAGATGGCCGACAGTTCGATGGACGCGTGACCTGTGCGTCATACCCATTTTTTGTTTAATATTCTCAATTTCCATTGAATACAATTAATCATTATTATTTCTCTTAATTAATGCTATGTAAATATTAATTAATATATATAATATATATACATACTATAATCCACTATTATATTTTTTAGAGAAAACATCTACATTGCTTAAAAAATAATTATTTCGATACCTCCAATGGACACTACGCCAACTTTGTTTTTTGGTCATTTTCTGTTATTTTGTATACAGCCATAATTGTTTACCAATATTACGCTCCCCGAATTTTGTGAAAAAAATTAAGAAACAAAATTTAAAAAAAGAACCAAAAAACGAATTTTGTGAAAAAAATTAAGAAACAAAAGACAAAATAAAAACAGAAGAGATCCAAAAATTATTTAAAAATTAAATATATATATAAATTAAAAATTATTTAAATTATATAATTATTTGTTATTAAAATAAGAGAACTCCGCGATTTGGATATAATCAGAATTTTGGATTTCATTGTATCGCCATATATGTGTCAACAGCTTGAGTTCGTTATTAAATCAATAACACAACAATTCTTCAGTTAATAGTGGACATTCCTCTTTTTTTTTCACTGTCAATCGTATTACTGACAGCAAAACTACATGATTTAGAATTTTCTGTTTTCATATTTGCCATTAACAAAATGGACCAATGTAATTAATCGATATTAGTTTCGCTACACAGTGATTTGGAATTTTCTAGCAATTAACGTCGTATAGAGACACAGGTGCCAAAACAGCCGGACTATCTAATGAATGGCGTGACAAGTAAGCGTATATTTGGATTCACCACACATCGACTTTGAGCTGAGAACAAATGAGTGATCTCATACCCGGGATGCGGTAATTCGCGTTAATTACTCGCAACGTTTAAAGCTTAAATTGTCTTTCCACATATGTGTATGTGGATATACAGGGTGTCCGGTAATTAATGGATGAGCCCGAAATGCCTAACAGCATATTTTTTTCGAAGTGTTCGGTGTTTGTATTAATAATTATTTTTACCTTATTTTAGAGTTTTGTACACCTCGACCACAAATGAATGAATTTCTTCGGTTTTTTTTGTTGTTACAATATTCTACGTTAACTATGCTAATAGATAGGCAATAATTAGTATGACTAACTATTGTACAGTTTTTTTAATATGCACTTTATTTTTCAGTGCAAATTTTTTTTTTTCACAAAGTTTAAGCGTCTTGGTTACAAAAAAAAAGTATGGTAACCTGAGTGGCCAATACTATATACTAAAATAACGGGTGTTAAAAGTAAATTTCAAAATGGTGTCATTTATTATTGTATCTAATGTAAGTAGAACATTTTAGCTATTAATGTCACAAAGGAGTTCATTTTGTTTAGCACATCGATAATTTTTCTAACATCTGACCACAATAGTGTAACGACTACGTAGCCATGTATATAATTCTCATGACATTTTGGTTGAATAAAATTAACTCCCCCCATATAATTTGTTTAAACAAGCGAAAGAACTAGAATATTCTGAAGTGCTTTGCTACATAGAATGTGCCGAGAGTATAGACAAGTGTCAAAGAAACAAACTCAATCATATTATGCTTCTGCTTTTCAATTTATGTCGCATAGTACTACTCATATTGAAATTGCATTAGTAAATAAAAGTAGACAGCAAGGAGATGAATAGACAGACACCTAAGTTTGTTTTACAAAGAAGCTATGTCAAACATATTCGTAGCAATGAAAACCCGTCTAGTTAGACGGAACTGAGTAATGAATAAGAACTTGTATGTCGCCATATCGTCTACAATAACTGGCTGATTGCCAGCAGCCTGCAGACCTTGGAGCAGAGAGCACAATAACACCAAGATATAAGATTATTTTATTTCAAATTTAAAAGAATATTAGAATGATAAGCTTACAGTTATCAAAGTTGCTTGGAACAGCTAAATAGCTACAACAAATAAACCCACACAAACAATAAATTTCAAAGATCCGAAATATCTACCCAGATACAACGTAACGCTATAAATTCAATTTCCGACAACTACGTTTAGGGTCTGGGTAGTGTATACCTACCTACAAGTCAAATTGCATTTACTCAATCTAAGAGATTCAGACATTCTCTGAATGGAAAAGGCGGAATCACTGCCCAAAAACCGTGCAGGGGGCTTACTATGAGCTTATAACCAGCCAGCCAAGTTCCATGCAATTCACTTGACGTGGTAAAACTGAAATGCTTAAATTCGTATCATGACCTACACAAAGTTGAACGGGAATGGCATGCCAGGATGATGAGTTTTACTTTTTAAACGTTAATTATTGTCTCTGGCTGGCTGACATCTAACAAGAGCGACATGGAACGACATACTAAATCATATGAAAGAAATAGACAGATCCTGGGTGCGTTTAAGCACTATTAACCGATTACGTTCAAAATGATAATAATTATATTTTTTATTAATTTTCTTATTAATTATACTTATTACTTTGTTTTGTAATATTGGCAACTTTTCAATCATACTTTACAATTTGTCGTGCGACAAAATTACATGTCATGTTTAGTCATTATCAATGAAATTAATAAGGTGAGTTTGTAATTTGATAACATAATTGGAACGTATCTTGTATTCGTACATTTTCATTGATTGCAATTATAGTCAAAATTGGCACTATCTAAAAGTTATTTTACGATTTTCGGTTAAGAAAATTATTAAAATGATTAAAAATCATTTAAAAATTGCAATAACATT